TTATGACTAACCGTATCAAATGCTTTACTCAAGTCCAGGAAGACTCCAAGAGCATATTTTTTATTGTCAAGAGCTGAAGAAATATAGTTTACAAGTTGAATAAGGGCATGCTCAGTAGAGTGTCGCTTCCGAAAACCATATTGATGTTTATATAAAATATTATTAGCATCCAAGTGATTAAATAATCTCGAATAGACAAGTCTTTCTAAGATTTTCGATATACACGGGAGAATTGATATTGGCCTGTAATTACTAAAATCCTTCGAGTCACCGGTCTTGAAAATTGGTATAACCCTAGCAACCTTCAAATTTTGAGGAACAATTCCAGTTCTCAGAGACAGAGAAAGAATATGAGTAAGAGGTTTGATAATGTGGTCAATTGTCTCTTTAATAAGAACACTTTTAATACCATCATGACCATGGGCTGCATTTTTAAGTGATAAAATAATATTCTGAACCTCTTGAACTGTTGGTGGGTCAAAATTATAAAAGGGAGGATATTGACCTTTAATAAAGGAACACGGAAGAGTTTCCGAATCATTAATATTAGACGCTAGATCAGAACCAACCGATATAAAGAAATCATTAAAGTAAACAAAAAGCAAATATGTAAACAAAAAGCAAAAAAAACACCTAACAAGCAAGTGTTTTGTTTGTTTTTTGTTTTATTACACACAATGGATGGAATGAGCCAATGATGGCTCTGTGACTTCCTGTCTATAAAATTGGACAAATGTGTTTATGCCACACATATGTCCTGAACAGAAACGGCCTTAAATAATGCCCATGATGTAGCCATACCTCTGGTAGGGTAGAATGAGCCCTCAGCCCTTCCCATGCTATTATAACCTAATATGGGGGACAGTGGGGCAGGCGCTGACATGAAATAGGTTTAGCTTTATGAGAATCAGCAGAGAAACAAAGGATTGCTTACTCTTCCTTAGTGATTTCTTTCTGTCCAGATAGTGACCCAAGGCACAGACAGGACACTGAAGCCACTCATCCCCCAATGAGGAAAAAGGCTGCAGATGGAAAGCAGTAAATCCACCTGTTTACAGGCGAGAGCTGACTCGCTTTAGGCCCAAACTCTGAATTAGTTTTGAGAGTTACTCTCGGGTAATCCATAGCAAACTGCATACAGGAGTTATGAACCGACAAAGTGTGAAGTTCATTAACTCGCTTCATGGTCGAAAGAGCCAATAATAAAGCAGACTTTAGCGAAAGGAGCTTTAAATCAATATTATATATAGTCTCAAAATGGGGCTGAGATGCATTAAAGGGGCACTTGGCAACTCTAGTAATTTCTTCGCTGATTTTCACATTTGTTTTTGCATGTTTTCTCATCGAGCGTCCCCTACAGCTGTGTGGCGTAAATTTCACAACACTGTCATAAAAAAATCTCACTTGCAGCACCTTCCTCTTGCTTTCTACCGCTGCATGTGCATTTGTTATTATCGGAGCTGACCAACTTTATCGCGTGGAGCTATGTCTACCGAGAGGGTAATACATCATACACTGTGTTATCATAGAATTATGTCGAATTGCCACAAAGGACTTCGTGTTTCTCGCTTGTTCTCGCTTCTCACAAGACTTCTATTTACAACTTACAACTTATTTACAACTTGATGTTGCAAGGTTGGTTGCCTGGGAACGATGGGGGGAGTGAGGAAAGTCACCATTCTCTCCAGAACATGTTATTAAACCATTCAAATGATTTCTAAACAGTTTAATTAAGTTGACATAGTTGCCAAGTGCCCCTTTAAGGACCAAAGACAGATCCTACGCTGGAATCAGTGGCTTTGAAACCCTGTACAAACGCCACACACCTCTCATAAACCTGCAAATGAGTGGGTGTTGACCTGTGGTATTCCTGTCAATCCACACATGACACGCAAGATAAACCTTAAAAGTTGAAAGGATTCTGCCCTTATCCCAAAGCTCCAACAGAAAACACATCCACAACAGAACAGAGAAAAGGAAAGACATGTTTCTGTGTGCACCATTGCTCAAACACATCCCATTTCCGATCACATGAAGCCGCCCCCACATTCTGAAAAATTTCAATCAGCCTCACAGGCAAATCCATAACATTCGAGTTTAAGCTCTCACGGGCCAGGCCCAAAGAGCCATTCTGTCCATGGCTAAGGGAAAAATCTTCCCGGATGCTTGAGTATAGTATATTACTGTAATAGTGTTTGTCATGTTGCAAGGCCGATTGTTTTTTATATTGTTATACTATTTTTTGTATTATTAGGAAAACCCTTACCACAAAATACAGTCAAGAAAGTTAACTCAAATATAGTATAGTCCCATATTATTGCATTATTGACAGGAGCACTGTACATAAATCTATTTGTGATGCATATAAAATAATATTACCAGACAGGGAAAGGGAACTTCACATTTCTTCCATTGTAAATGCATTACTGAAGTCAAAAGTATCTTCTGTGGCAGACTAAACCACAAGCAAAAAGAAAAGAAAAAAAAGAAAAAAACATGAATCATCTTTCAGTTCGTAAAGACGAAAATCTGTTTTTGAACTTAGAACCTTTCAGTCTTTTAATTGACCAGCATTTTTACCCAGGGTTACCAAATGAGCATAGTGATATTGTGCCTATTTGACAGTGAACTTTTGTGATACTCTTCCCCATTTATTTATTCAATGTAGTTGATTTGATTAATATTTTGCAAACAATAGTTTTGCCACTGGCAATTAGTCTCTCATGCATTAATCATGCTTAGAAAATAAGTTCTCGTGGCCTTTTAAAAAGTTGGAACTGCAACTGCAGGAGAAAGAACAGAGGGGGAATGATAAACAGAATGTGAATGTCTGAAAATGAAAAGGAGTGTGAGTAAGACTCACTGTGGTGAGCATGTGTGTGCATATGCGCACGGCTGTGTTTTAAAAGTGAGAAAACAGAACAGTGAGTAAGAGAAGAGTGGAGTTAGAAGAGAGCAGGCACAAGGAGAAAGAGAAACATCGGGAAAGAAACAACTTCAGGAAGCGCAGGTAATGGAGAAAGAGAGGGGATGGATGGAAGCCAAGTCTCCCAGCATTCCCTCCCCCTGTACAGGCCAGTTCAGAGGAGGAGTGTAGGTGGGAGTTAAGCACTTCTCCAGATGTAGTTGACTGCTACTCCTGGAGTCCGACTTTCTCCAGATAAGCCTCCATCACTCAGAGCAACCAACAGTTCCAGCTCAGTCAAGTACAGGGATAAACAAAATTACAGAACTTTTACAAGTCATCTGCAAACGATTATACACTTTGTTTTCACCTGTAACGTTTTCTCAACGGGAAAGACTTGAGGTAAGACGCAATATTTGTTCCAAGGGACTCAAGTTGAGATCTGTCTCAGCATCTAATTATCACAAATAGCATGCCATTTACTTTTTTTTTTCCTTCAGAGCTTTCTTGGTAATAAATATTTCAGTGCATATTGAGAAGTTCACTGTATTTCCTCTTGGACATTAGGGGAACTTTGTGGTTTCATTAGAATCTGAGTTTTATCCCATTTGAATAAATTCACATAAATTTGACTTATGACCTTGCATATTAAGCAGAACTGAAGCTTGAGCAAAAGTTAACTTCAAAAGAAGTGTTGAGGTTTGATGATTTTTTTTTAAAAAATATCTTTGAAATAATTATGTATGAATTTAGTTAATATTTTAAAAGTGAAGTGAATCTCTGTCTTGAGTTCCAGGGCAATCAGCCACTATTCCACAGTAATTCAAGCTGCCAAAGAGCAATTTGAATTAATTTCAACATAAATTATGCCCTTAAAAGTCAAAGCAGAACTAATTTGTATAAAACTTTAATATTACTAGAGATCCTATCATTTGCAAGATATAGTAAACTTATGATTATGCTTTATTGCATAAGCTGCCACTAGATCCTTTCTACAGTGCAAGTAGTTTTCAGTGCAAATAGGGTTTGAAACAGCAGTTAGACCAATCATAATTCATTCATTCATATACATTCAAATGCCAAACCAGAAAATAGTACTGTATGAAAATGTTGGACTTGTCATTTACAGGCCCCTGTAAATATTAATTCAGTAAGCATCCTGACATAGAGTTGTTATCTTACCAGCAGCTGGTAACAGCATGAAAGAGACAGGAATGCAGAGAGAATAAAATTGTCCAAAATGGTCTGAGAGTCATCATGGGTCATCATTGGGCCTCTGTCAGCTGAATAAATCATGCTTGACGTTTCACCTTTTTGGCCGCTCTGCACTAAACATCCAATTTGAGCAACCCAAGCTGGCAGAAAAGCAATTAAAATGCAAAACAGGCATTTCTGTGTCTCAAAATCTAAACAGTTTTGTATTTAGAAAGCGAAACGCTTTTCTTCTTCCTCTTAAATGTACACTAGTTTGTGTAATTAAGCTGTGGATGAGTTGCCAGATTGTGGTAGGAAAACCCATGCAATGCTTTACCTGAGACAAACATTTGAGCAAATTTTGTGTAAAATAACTTAGCAATATGTAACAACACAGTAAATATTCCTAAATATGTGCAGTAATTATAATTGGTACACTTCAGTGTCTACAGATCATTAATTTTAATAAATAACTTTTTTTATTATTAGTGAAACTAAGTACTTGCATATTGTCATTATAACTGATCACATTACATCTGTAACAGATCAAATAAACTGATGTGCAGTATCTTACTTAAATCACAGTTCCTTAGTAATTCTTTCAAGAGACATATGTGGATTTTTTTGTTTTTTAAATGTTGCAATATTTTATCTCTGCTAGTAAGGCATGGGCACAACTTTCAGAAGTCATCACACTTCAGGCGTACTGTCACATGGCAAATCAAAATGTTTCTAGGAGACATTCAACATCAATCCAATTTAATTTCAAATATTATACATCTTTGTTTTGATTAATTTTAACTTTGTTATTTCTATCTTTTGTAAGTGAAATTGTAGACTGATTGCTGTTACTTGATTTGTATCAACAAATTACTTATATTGTACTGTATGTGATTTGCAGTCACACTGTTCCTAAATCAGATAATGGCATGAGCAGGACATGGCTCCAGTGGGTGTACCTACTCTCCTGATGTTGGCAGCTCTGTATCTGCTGCTCGTCTTGCCATCATGCTACCTGCATGCATGCCCAAGGTCCTGTAGTTGCCCCAGCCTTAAGGAAGTGCACTGTACCTTCCGCCACCTCCCCTCTGCCCCACGAAACCTACCAGAGGACACAGAGAGACTCAACTTAGGGTATGCTATACTGTTTTGCTGGCTTTTGCTTTTAGCAAAGGAACTACTATTCATGTTTTATTACAAATGTGCATATAAACAGGCCCCAAGATGATCACAATAACCACACTTTTTAAGCAAAACAAAAAACAAAAAGAAGTTGATAGTCAAAATGAAGGGAAAAAAGGGTATTGTGACACTTGTGGTTTTATGAATTTCTTTAAAGGAGAACTCAAGTCAATTTTAACATTGAGCTAATTTTTTTGTACATTTGGAGTGCTGTCAGTACAGACAAAAACGTCAAAAATCGGTGTTGCCTACACCGTGTTATCCTCTTTTTAAAATTCGCACCCTGTTGACTTCGCAACATTTGACTTCCTAACATTCTTGATTTGTCATTACAAGTGCACAGCAATGTGAGTGATTTTATTCAGAGTGATCACAGTCAATCTGACTGCATTAGATGTGAAAGATATTAATAAAAATGACGTTAATTCAGTCAGCTCTCATACCTGTATTTACTTCCTGTTTTCGGTCGAAGTCCACAGTAGTCGATTGTCGAGTTCGCGTGCGCGATCATTAGTAAAAATTAACTCAAAAACCTCCTCCGTGTGTTCAACATCTGATTCGGATGAACTATCTATTTGAGCTGATATTCTCAAAACACCACACAGCACGTCATCGGCTGACAGCTGACAGTCTGAGTTGCTCCACTGTTGCTTAGTTACCAATGATCGCACGTGCGAACTCGACAGTCAACTACTGTGGACTTCGACCGGAAACAGGAAGTAAATAGAGGTATTTGAGCTGGCTGAATTAACATTTTATTCATATCTTTCACATCTACTGCAGTCAGATTGACCGTGGTCATTCTTAATAACACCACTCACATGGCTGTGCACTTGTAATGACAAATCAAGGATGTTAAGAGTCTAAAAGCAGGTTTAGAACTTGCCCCATTAAAGTCAACAGGGTGTGAATTTTAAAAAGAGGTTAACACGGTGTAGGAAACAGCGATTTTTGGCGTTTTTGTCTGTACTGACAGAACTCCAAAAGTACAAAAAAAATTAGCTCAATGTTAAAATTGACCGGAGTTCTCATTTAATTAAATTCTATTGATTAAATTATATTCAAAATTGGTGTTGATTACTGTCTCTCACAAAATTAAGGGGTAACTAATGTACAAAGTAATATGTCTTAAGCTAACAATTTTTCCTTAATCGTCTTTGTCTACTGCAAAGCTATAACAGCATTGGCACGATTGGGTCTTCAGATTTTGTGAACCTACGGCAATTGGAAATGCTTATGCTCCATGGAAACGACATCTCCTCTGTGTCTTCTGGATCCTTTTACCACCTCCGTTCCCTCCAGGTATATACACATATATGGTTATATGAGCTGTACAAAAGAAAACACATTATATTTAACTACTGTACTGTAGCTTCTTTGTGTCTCTAGTTTTCCATAAAGGTATACAAATAGTTATGAGACATGATTTTGAAATAGCATTTGAGTAACTGTTGTTCTTCTTCGGCACAGATACTCAAGTTGAGCTACAACAAACTCAAAAGAGTTGATCCCAGTTTGTTTGAGGGCTTGACAAGCCTTGTACGGCTTCATTTAGACCACAACCATATTGACTTCATTGAGCCCTTTTCATTCAGAGGACTCACATCATTAAAGCTATTGCAACTGGAGGGAAACAGACTGCAGGACCTTCACTCTCACACATTTATTACTATCTCAGTCCTTGGCACATTTTGGAGCTCAGGACTGCGGCACCTGCACCTGGCAGACAACCAACTAGAATACCTGCTTCCTGGAACTCTGCAGCACTTGCACAGGCTGGAAGTCCTATCCCTACATGGAAACCCCTGGGCCTGTGACTGCCACTTACATTGGCTCTTGGAGTGGGACAAAAATCATGAGGGTGAAACTAAATTGATTGTATTTTCCAACTTTTGCATCACTCACTCAGAATTTGATATAATAGGAAAAACATCAAATAAAACTGTCCCACTCTCGCGTTACAATAATTTAATTTGGTAACACTTTGTTTTTATGACCCGCAAACAACTGCGTAGTGTAGTATAAGGGAACAATATGTTAAGTTTTGGGTACTAAAGATGTAACAAACAGATATACAAGCAAAATTATTTATAATGCAATTATTTTAAAACTAATATATTCCAGGCAAAAATTGTACGTCTTTTGTATATAAAGGTTATTATCACACTTCTGGCAAAATATGTTCTTGTGCAATTTTACAGGGTAATTTTGACATCTATGGGTTGACATTAAGTAATCTAGTAAGAAAAGCCAATAAAATCGTTTTTTATCATACTGTGCCTACAAACAGCGATATATATATATATATACACTGCCAAACGATTAAAATATTTAATCGTGATTAATCACATTAATGTCGTAGTTAACTTGCGATTGCAAGTTAACACATATTTATCTATTCTAAATGTCTCTTAATTTATTTTATTTACATATACTGTGTTCAATTTCACATTAACTCACTTGGCGCAAATAATCTTTCACACAATGTAACACTGTCTATCAATAAAAGGGTGAAATAAATACTGACAAGGTCCTGATATTGACAAGGGGGCGGAGAATTCGCATCAGCTGTGTGTGTATGTGTGCTTGGCCATCATCAAGTGGTATTTCAGACTGGACGTGCTGAGATGATGATAGCTCAGTTCACAACGACAAAACACACAGATCACTTTGGTCTTGTTAATGGGACCATTTGGCAACTTTTTAAAAGTAAACTTTCCATTCAGAATCTTATTGGCATCCATTCCGGCGTCTCATGCTTGTCATAGACTTAAAACGTAACGTTTATCAACTATTTGGCCAGCACGCAAGCCTAAACAAATGTGTGTGGCATCGTGCCTGTTGTTTTGTTTCCGGTCTAGCTAGATCCACTTGCGCTTCGGTCGAAGAAGCAACAAAACGTCCTTGCGCAGCACAAGCCATTGAAATGAATGTGTTTCATAGCGTAGAGCCACGCATGTCGCATCCTGTTACAAGACCATGTGAAAAAACTACAACGTTTGCTAAGCCAAAAAGACCGTAAATCACACAATAAAAAAATTTACGCCGTCAAAATGGTTTTGCGTTAATATATATATATATATATATATATATATATATATATATACAGTATATATATATATACATATTTATACACGTTTAATTTTCAACCCACAGATGTCAAATTTACCCTGTAAAACTGCACAAGAACATATTTTGCCAGAAATGTGATGATAACTTTAATATACAACAGACGTACAATTTTTGCCTGGAATATATTAAGAGAATGGTACCTGTTAGTTTTTATTGATTTGCTTGTATATCTGCTTGTTACCCCTTTATTACCCAAAACTTAACATATTGTTCCCTTATACCTAGATGGAAGTACTCTAGAAATGTACACCATAATTTCGGTGTACTTACACAGTTGTTTGCAGGTCGTAAAATAAAGTGTTACCTTTAATTTTCATAAAATTATAAATCAATCCTTTTTTTTGGTGTTTGTTGTCATTTGTGCGGTGTGAATTGGCCCTTAGATGTATCGTATTGAAGAAGAAGAAGTTTTATTTATATAGCGCCTTTCCGGAGCTCAAGGTCGCTTTACATTGTATACACATGTATACACTTACACAAAGATTACATTCACATAGGGTACATACAGTCACATTAAACGAAATACATGTTAAAGGGATAGTTGACCCAAAAATAAAAATTAAGTCATTAATTACTCACCCCCATGCTGTACCAATCCTGTAAGACCTTCGTTCATCTTCGGAACACAAATGAAGATATTTTTTATTAAATTTGAGAGGTGGATCACTGCTACATAGGCTGCCTAAGGGATCGAAACTTGACGGCCCAGAAAGTCATTGAAGAAAATGTTTAAATATTGTAAGTGACTACATTGGTGACAAGTGACTACATTTCGCACAAAAAAATTTTGTGCGAAAAAAACAAACAAAAATAACGACTTTATTTGACTACGCCATTTCTTCCTTGTTGGCCTGAGAAGAGAGTTCAAGAGATTTCCACAACGCAACATTGTGTACAACTCTACTGGCTACAAATAACTGAAAATGCAGACAAAGAAGTTTTTTTTTTTTTTTTTACTGATACATACTCTATCCCTCTATCTCTTTCTAGGAATTATTAAGTGCAAAAAGGACCGCGACTCTGGAGATGCTGGCAACTGTGCTGCGTGTGCCTCACCACAGCCTTTGAATAACAGCCAGATCTTGCAGCTTTCAACCAAACAACTCACCTGTGGCCAACCCTCCCTTCAGTCCCCTCTAAAAATCGGGGAGAGTAGTGTGTGGGAAGATCAGGAGCCAGATTCCCCCTACATCAAGGACTTGGAGCTTCCTCTTGGCCACCTGACCTTTATTCTCTCTGACAGCCATGGGAATAGAGCACACGTGGCTTGTAATGTAACACGTCCTGTTGAGGACACCTCCATGGTGTGGGAGCCAGTGAGGAGAACAGATGAGATTGCTGTAAACGTGACTCTACGTACACTGCTGGAGTGTGAAATCGATAGAGATGCTCTTCAGAACCTTTGGAGGTTAGTTGCCTATTACTACGAGAGCCCAGCTATTTTGGAACGGGGAACCAGACTTGGAAATTCTTCCCAGGTGACTTTTCAATACTCTCAAGCCTCAAATGAGGAATCACCATATTTTACAGAGCTCAAAGGACACTTAATAGCTGAACCAGCCTGGCTTTTGCAACCAAGGGTCACCCTTCAGCTGAACAGGCGCAAAACTACAACTAAAAAACTGGTGCTGATCTTCTCCACTTTTATATCAAAGAACATCATTGGAAGAGGCGATGAGGAGGATGTGGTCTCCTCCTGGGCTATGATTCGAAGAGGAGCTCCAGGAAGAATTCAGTCAGTACTAGAACACTCTGAAGTCAGTCTGGATTGTAGTGTGCTCAGCACATGGCATCAGCATGTGGAGTGGATGCTTCCAGACTTAACAACAGTGGATAAAACTGATTCCCATAAATTAAGGTTGGAGAATAACAGGCTAGTAATTAAAAATGCAAGTATAGCAGACTCTGGACTTTATCATTGCTTTGTGAGGACAGACACTAATGTAGACATTGTCTCTTATAGACTCACAGTCAGGATGCGTCTGTTAAGTCCCAGTGATTTAAATGGAAAGAAGATGTCTGTGGAAAATGGGGACACTCTTAGTCTTGCCTGTTTAGTAACATCTCCTCATCCAATTGAGACAAGATGGTACCTTCCAAACAATCAAATTCTCAAAGCATCAGACATGAAAGGAAGGGTGTATGTGTCACTGAACAACACTTTGATAATCAAAACACTGACTTACGAGGATGCTGGAGAGTATAGCTGTTCAGCAGCTAACCTCTATGGGGCTGATATGTTGTCTCATCTAATTGTTGTAACTGGTAAAAAGGAAGCACAAAAAGGTGTTACCGTATCTAATGGTGAATTACCGCTTTTTGAAAGTGAGGATAGCGAAGGGTCAGGATATGAAGAAATCAAACGACCAACTGCTAAACTAACACCTGAGAGGGTCAGTGGTAAATACAGAGAGGGCATTGTCCGACAAAATGCAAAGGGAAAGAAAATAAAGGAGAGTGTGAGAAAACCAAATAACTCTGTCAAAGAGCTTGACCCCAGCCGCTGGGAACAGATTCTTGCAAAAGCTAATGCTAAATTTTCAACCATGCCACCAGTTACAACGCAACTACAAATTACAGAAACCTCAAAAACAGTGAGAGAGTTGTCACTGACTACAACAACCAACCCTTCGACAGGTGACATCTTTGAAACTACTCAAACAGATGTTACAGCAAGCAGTCCCAGCATAGGTTCAAGCATACACAATTACAATGCGAAACAGCTGAAACCACCACTCCAAAGTGAGTACGAAAAACAAGAAACTACACAAGGAGAAAAATCTAATAACAAGACAAGTGATTCTAACATTTCAGATTTGACTTTAGTACACATGGACTCAACAACTGTACCTGAACCTAAGACACAGCTGGTAAAACAGGTAGACAGACACACAATAGAAAAGAAAATACGGGTTAACAATAATTCCATCTGGAACCAAAGACAAAGATTCCCATTAAGGCACCGTAGGCCTCCATCACGTAGACCACGTCCAAAGAGACCAAATTTCACTCTAGCTTACACTACAGCAGTACCATTCACCCAATCTCCAGTCAAGACTGTGACCACTAACTCTTATTCTCCAACCCAAAACAAAACATCATTGATTTTAGAAGTTTCTCCTACTCAATACACAGAAATTGAAAGCTTAGCCATGGCTGTCACAGAAGATCCTCTTAAAACACCTATAACAACAATCATAAAACAGGAGAAGCTTAATGAATTTAAAGGAAAAACGAAAAACATTGTTCAGCTCCTAAGTACAACACCTCTGCAAGAAACTGAAGTAGTTCCTGCTACACTTGCTCCCAGACAGATCAACAGGTATGGGCATGAAAACAGAGAGATCATTTTTAGAACTAATAGCCACCCAAATGACAATAAAACACGGCAGATTTCAGCAACAGCCATTCCTAATCTTCAAACCAGTAACATAAATGCTTCAGAAACAAAAAGTAAACATACTGGGAAATCAACCTTAACTAAAGTGGACCAACCAAGTGTTTACAATTGGGGGATGTATCCTGAAGGTGTGCCTATTCACCCTTGGCTAATCCAAAAGAATACACCAAAAAAACAAATCTCAATTACACCACATCCCTACACTCAATCTCCATACTGGGCCAAGAACTATGGCATTCCCTTCTGGCCCACAGTTCATAGCTCAAGACACCACCACTCCCAAGACAAAACTTGGTATTTCCAACAAAGGGGTGCAGGGGTCACCAACTGGCCTGAAATCACTGCTCAAACAGCAAAGCCCACAGCTTACATTTCTGGGTCAGCAACAGCTTCCTTTCTGAGGACCATAGCTCCACATGTCAGCTCGTCTAACGTACGCAACCACTTACTTTTCAACAGGCTCAGAAACAGATATAGACAATCACAGCTTGATGCATATCGACAAGCCCAGCTGGGAAAGACTGTCACTTCTAAGTCAATGACATATTATCCCACCACACAGCCTCACCAAGCACCAAATGTCCCAAACACCTACAAGCCTGTGACTCCCCCATCCTTACTAGCATTTACAAACAAACCACCTTCCACAGCAAGCGTATCCTATGGTAGTCGCTGGCACTACAGTCATTTTGGAACAAAGATCACTGCGATTCCCTTTCCAAACCTGATGGGCCGTGGTGTCAAACCCAGGATCACAGCAACTGAATCCGTAACTGTATCTGCTCTAGCTGAGGCTGATGTGCTCTTGTCCTGTAGATCATCTGGGGACCCCAAACCTGTTGTTTCATGGACCAAAGTTTCAACAGGTTAGGCGATTTTTCATTACAAATCTTCTGTGGATGCGTTTATCTGAATGGAAGATGAGATCCCCTTTTAGAGTGCTTAAATTTGACAGTAAACAAATGCTTAATCATGCTTAATATTTGCCCAAGATAATACCAAAACTGATCACATTTATTTGGTCAACTATATTAGCCAAACTGAACATGCATGTGACAGTTTTCACTTGGTGTAAAATTATTGAAAATAAAACCATAAAATATTTAGATTAGATTTCTAATACCAGAATTATTATTGTAGCTTCTCTTTGTGAGAAAGGTTGGCCAGCATGCAATTTTACCTTTTTCTCTTCTTTCTTTTTTGAGTGCAACTGAAAATGATAATTATATATTATATTATAAAAGATAATTCCTAGAGGTCACTCTTACATGCCCATGATGCGATTTCTTGTTTTCCTTTGAGTGTGTGTGTGTTATGTAGCTGTTTGTGCATGTATAATGCTACGTTCACATCGGATGCGAATAGCGCATCTACCGCATCTAGTTTGACGCTTGACCACTTTGTGTTAATTCGCGCGTCAACAGCGAAACTGACGCGGGTCAAATAAAAAGTTTGATGCGAAATTTACGTGCGTCTCGTGCCGCCGGTGCCACCATGTCAGGAACATGCTTTATTTTTTGTTGCGAAAGCCAAACTACTTTGTTTGGCCTTCCAAAAGAGTCATTATAATCAGTAATTATGTCACCAATGAAATAGAACCTTACCAATCTGATAAGTTCTGGTCCAGTCGTGCTGGCAAAGATGATCGATCAGCTTGGTCATCGGCGTTTACCGGATACCGGATCAGATTCGGGCTCGAATTGATAAGGTAGTACTGACATTATCAGCAGTCATTATTGCTTTGGGAGCTGATGTTCCAAATATGGTAAGGTGTGTGACATTTCCATCACATGCTTAATATTTTCGGGCCAATCACACTATATCACATATGCACTAAATCACTGGCCAATCAGAGCAAACCACGCTTTTCAGAACGATGAGCTTTGTGAAAATCGACGCGTTTCAGAAAGGCGGGGCATAGAAGAGCAACAATAATGTATGGTATGTGTAAGATAATGATTCTTTAAACCTAAAACCACGTAAACACATTGCATTAAACCAAATACACAAAATAATGTTCTTTTAGAACCATCAAATGAACCCTTTAAAAGAATCGTTTGATACAATGCTTCCTTGTAATTACAGCTGTAATTATCTTCTGTAATAACATCTATCATTAAACTGTGTTTGGCTTGTACATTTTTATTAGTTTGTTGATGTTTATGCTTGATTGTTTTTTCCAACTCCTTAACAGGTGCAACAATTCAGACCAACACAAAACTTGGACAAAGATTTGAGGTCCTTTCAAATGGCACTTTTGTGATTAAAAATGTCCAGCTGCAAGACAGGGGCCAGTACCTTTGCACAGCTCAAAACAAATTTGGCTCAGACCGCATGGTAGTTACCCTTGTTGTCCAGACTCAGCCTCCAAAAATCATGAGCTCAAGGGCCAGAGATGTCTCAGTGTTTTTGGGAAACCCAGTCAGCTTGGACTGTATTGCCTTGGGTAAACCAGAAGCTCAGATTTCATGGATTCTTCCAGATAGGACATTTGTGCGAGACATTGGTACCCTTGACCGAAGAATATCTCTTCTTCCAAATGGAACACTGAGTATTCATTCAGCAAACCTTTCTAATAAAGGTGATTATAAGTGCATTGCCAGCAATGTAGCAGGAGCTGATACACTCACATACCACATCCGTGTTGCAGCGCTACCTCCAATAATCGTTGAAATGTCATCTGAGACAATGTTTACAAATGTTGGAAGAAACGTATATGTGGATTGCACTGCTAAAGGAGAGCCATTCCCTCTTATTAAGTGGGTTCTCCCTGATGGTTTACAAATCAAGCCCACACAGTTTATTGGAAGCCGGATATTTATTTTCCCAAATGGAACACTTTATATAAAGAACGTCACTCCCAGTGATTCAGGGAGGTATGAGTGCTCAGCAACCAACCCAGTGGGTTTTGTTAAAAGAACGGTGCAGATGGATGTTAAGCAAGAGGCTCCTGGCCCCTGGAAAGGCCTATACCAGCAACACAGTGTCAAGGCAATATATGGATCCACAGTTTTCCTGCATTGTCCAGAGTCCATGGGTTCCCACAGAGGTACAGTCTGGAGACTGCCATCTAAAACCATACTGGAATATCAGTACAGGTAACATGTTTTATGCTTTTAAACATAAGTTAAAAGTATATATGTTCTATCTAGCAAGATTTTAACATTTCTTTTAATATAAAACAATGAAGAGTTGGTAACACTTTATTTGAAGGGGTGTGCATAAGGCTGTCATGACACTGTCATAAACATGACATAACACCTGTTATGAACATGAAGGAGTCTTTATGAATGTTTATGACTGTTGTCAATAAGTGTCATTCTGTAAATTATGACACTTTTAATGCAAAGTTGACATTGTTTAAAATGTCTTTGTTATGACAACTTGACATTAACAAAGACAAAAATGTCTTTGTCATGACAACTTGACATTAACCAAGACAAAAATGTCTTGATTATGACAACTTGACATTAACAAAGACAGAAATGTCTTTGCTATGACAACTTGACATTAATCAAGAAATCATAACTAGTCCAACGTGTTCCACTTTACTTGAGGTAAAGGGAAATATTAATGACACTGTTGGTAAAGCATTTGACAGTGTAATGACCCTTAATGACATCTTTATAACTAGTACAATGTGTTCCACTTTACTTGAGGACAAGTCAAATATTCAGGTCACAGTTATAATGGTGTCATGACAACCAAAGTTAAAACCAACCATAACATATGATAGGGTAATGTAATGTTAACACATTACAGGTTAACAGGTTATGATTTCTTGGTTATGTCAAGTTGTCATAACAAAGACATTTCTGTCTGTGTCATGACAAAGAAATTTTTTGTCTTTGTTAATGTCAAGTTGTCATAACAAAGACATTTTAAACAATGTCAACTTTGCATTTAAAGTGTCATAATTTACCGAATGACACTTAATGACAACAGTCATAAACATTCATAAAGACTCCTTCATGTTCATGACAGGTGTTATGTCATGTTTATGACAGTGTCATGTCAGTCTTATGCACACCCCTTCAAATAAAGTGTTACCGAAGAGTTTGTCTGCTTAATAATATGGTAACTTATTTTCTCCTTCAGAACAATCCTACAGTGGTATTATTTAAGTCAAGCCGTCACAGCTGTATTGTTATTTCTCCTTTATGAAGTGTTTTGTTTTTCTCTTTTGAGCAATTATTGGTCCTCATTGTTCAAGCTGACATATGCTCTCAAACTCACAGCAGGCCGACTTCATCACTAGAGGAATTCAAACAATGTCTGCCGTATTAAACAAGCAGTCTGTCTCAGCCCAAACAACCCCTGCTGATTCAGATAATACAGTAACAGAGCGGGATGCAATGGCAATTTTTCTAAATGCTCAGCCAGGAGCCAGCTAAACAACAGGCTACTTAAAGCAGTTAGATAACAAATGTTTAACATTAGTCAGTCATTATTTGCCTACAAACATCTAAAATTAATCAAAAATAAATTATGTAAAAAAAAATATCGGTAACATATAATAACTGCACGCTATTAATCATTAGTTAAGCATGAGTAAACAGTTAATACATCATTTATAAAACATTAATAGACATTAATATGCAGTTTATAAATATAGCTATACATGCTTTTTTCTTGATTTATAAGCATATCTATAATGCGTTTAATGATTGTATTTTCATACTTTGTTAATGATCAATTAATAATTTCTAAATGAAGTATAACATTATTTGCAAACCAGTTGTTTAAGAGTTGTCATTCATTCATAAGAGCACTTAGAAAGTGTAAGTAAATGTAGTAAATACAGGTAGTTATAAAGCATTTATTAGTGGTCAGTTAACTATTGTTGTGAGCTAATCTAAAGTGAGGACTATTCATGCTTTGTAAAGCATTTATAAAGACGATTTAAAGACGATTTAAAGTCAATCTTCTAAACAGTAAAATGTAACAAACACAACACAGTGATACAGAACATAGAAATATTTAACAGCCTTTAAAAATGCTTTACAAGGCATGACTAGTCCTCACTTTAGATTAGGTCACAAAAATAGTTAACTGACCACTACTAAATGCTTTATAACAACCCAAATTAATCCTTAATTACAGCATTAATACATGTTAATAAAGCATTTATTAACACATTAAGTAACCATCACTATATGTCTGAATAATAAGATGTATGAATGTACATTTAAATAGTTTATTAATCATTTACTTACTCGCTCTAAGTAATCGTATGAACCACGGACAACTCTTAAAGAACTGGTTTATAAAAAAATGCAATTCTTCATTTAGAAATGATAAATTGATCATTAATAAAGGATAAAAATACAATTATTAAACAAATTATAGATATGCTTTTAAATCAAGAAGAAAGCATTTATAGCTGTATTTATGAACTGCTTATTAATGTCTATTAATGCTTTATGAATGATGAATTAATAGTTTACTCATGCTTAACTAATGATTATTAGCGTGTAGATATTATAAAGTGTTACCAAAATATCTTATTCAAATTTCGATCTTATTGAAATTTTGGTTCACAGCCATGCAATGTGACTTTAGCTACAACATTTTAATGAAGAACCAATACACCTTTTTCCTGACAAACCTAATGTATTTTGAATTATGGCACTTCTGGTTTGGGGAACTTCCATTCAAAAAGACTGAAACAAATAATTCCAAATAATAAGGTTCCACTACAAATAATCCTCATCAGCCATTTTCACAGAATGAGCTGTCAATTTCCATTAAACTTTTTATTTATTTGTTAAGCACTTTGAGATATTATCACTCAACTTAAAGAAATTTAGTTAGCATTAAGTGAACATTCATTAAGGCAAAGTATTTTACTTTGCATAATACAGACACACACACATATATATATATATATATATATATATATATATGTCTGTATGTATGTATATATATTACTACTGTGATATTTAACACCCATAATACTGCTGTGGAAATAATCAAACTTTTGGGGTTAATAGTCTGATCTTGTAATTTGTTAATCCTTTTACTCGTAAATTTCCTTTTAATCATTTTAATATTAATCGGAAAAATGTCACTTCATTGTACCCAGAATTTTTTAAAGCTTATCATTGCGTCCATAGAGCGAACCTTTCACTGCTGTTTACAGTTTAACGGATAGTAGTACAGCAATTGATGATGATATATAGAGTTTTTACAATATAAAAATGTCTATGGAATGTCCCCATAAAACATGAAAACCCAATCTGTGTGGTGTGAAAGAGAGGAGGGAGAGAGACATTCAGTCAAACAACTAGACCCCCTGGCTCAAACAAAGCTTTGTGACATCAACATTCAAAGTTTGTCTTCACAGGACACACAAAGGTTAAAGTAGTCCTCAGATGCCATGTTCTTTACTGCAGCATTTCAGAGAAATTAAGTTTTGGATTAAGCTGCTGACTGAATGTGTCCGGGAGTAAAGTATACGACAGTTAAAAACGGAATATTAACGTGATAAAAATAAATTAACCGCTTTCTAAATAAATTAACCGCAATAACCAAGCAAAGATGCAGAGAAACAAACCAGCTTCAATACACAGCACAGAATGAGAAAACAGTAGCACTGATTACTAAAGGCACATAAGAGTCCTGTGGTGATATCTAGTCGTCAAAAATAAAACATTACAAAGCAAAAACTCTTCAGAAAAAAATATCAAAAATTATCTTCAGTCCAATATGTTGAGCCAATGTCAAGTCAAGTCACTTTTATATATATATATAGCACTTTATAAAATACAGATTGTTTCAATATTATGCTTTTTGCATCAGTTTTGATTGTGTTGATTCAGTTCTGTTCTGATCATTATTAAATTAGTTAATTTTATCTATAACATGGTTCAAACAACAGGTGCCATGTTACTGCGGTTTCGGAAAATCCATGAATACCACGATTCAGTATCGTGGAGTGCGTTAAGAGTTTTTCTGTTAGAACAGTGTTGTGTTAGTGGCCCCTATTCACAAAGGATTGTAGCGACACCAGCGCCTCTCACAGTCGTCCGGGGTCCGCGACACAAGCCAAGCGGGAATGCTGCATTCATCTGCAAACAAATCCTCACCCATCTCTCACGCTTAGTTTTGCTTGATATCCCAGTGCCGAATTTCACTTTTATTATGTTTTTTTTTTTTTTTTCCACTAACTGGGCCAGCAGCAGATCCTGCGTCCAGTTGGGCTTTCTTTTCATTTTGGCGAGATCATAATCCACCGTCATTCAACTATTACATTACTTCAATAGGAGCAATATTCCCTTGCTTTAAGTAGTCTAGTTAGGCTAATAGAATGTCAATTAACCAAGCCAGTGTCTTTTTTCTTTATTAGGCAAGTGTAGGTTTTCATTATGGTATTAGGCACCATTCACATATAGCCTACCGCCTAAAAACGCAAGGTGTGCCGCGTTCTCCCGGTGGTTGCGCTCCGGTTGGTTCTTGTCACGTAACCTACGGTGCGCTCCATACGGACACGCTTGGAAAAAATGGGCGCGCATACCCCGTGCCAACATTTAAAATAGCAAACTTGAGCACACAAAAGACGCGATATGTGAACACTGCATGCCCTTAGGCTACCTTGAATAATTTCATTCATGACTTTTCTCTCTCTGCCTTGAATTACACTTTACTGGGGCCTGCACAAACATGTCATTATATAGCCTGATGCATTTCGATGGCATTACTTTTTTATTTACTTTATTATTATGTTGTGTAGGACACAGACATATTTAGGCTAGATGTTGTAATACCATGATTTGTTGCTGTGTTATGTTCCGCATGATGGCCCTGTCATCTAACAACCAATTACCGTGATCATTGCGAGGAAGCTCGTGCATTAAAATTGACGTCATCCATAGCAACAAGACTCACTCTTAGTTTAGGAGTTGTCATTTTTTCTTACTAAGAGTAGGCCTGAAAGGCGTTGTGAATAACTTTTGAGAGAAAACTCCTAGCTAAAATATTTTAGTGCGATTTAGGAGTACTCCTAGTGGTAAGATAAAATTCTTTGTGAATACAGCCCCAGAAAAGTAACAACTATAGTAAAGGACAGGGAAAAGAAATTGCACGGTGTGCAGCCAGCGTAGGAAAGATTCTATGAGCTATTTTATTCTATCATTCTATGAAAGAGTTCAGCTGTCATAAAAAGGTGTAAACAATTTATCTCTTTTTGTTCTCAGTCCACAAAGGCACATCACTGCATTCCCTAATGGCACTCTGAGAATTCTGAGACTGACTGAGAAAGATGGAGGCAATTATTTTTGCATGTATCAAAGACCAAATGGTGAGGACATGGAGCTGTTTCAAGTAGAAGTTCTCATGAGGCCACCAAAGATAGAGAACAATGGAGCACATCATAAAAGAATAGCTAATGGAGACAACTTCTTGGTTGACTGTGTAGCTTCTGGCCTTCCAGACCCTGCGGTTTCATGGAGCCTTCCAGATGGCACCATGATCACCAATGCCCTTCAGTCGGATGACAGCGGATCCCGTAACCGGCGCTATATCATCTTTGGGAATGGAACGCTTTTGTTGCAACAAATGGGAAAAAAGGATGAAGGTAACTATACATGCTTCGCTAAGAACAACCTGGGGGAGGATGCAATGAAAGTAAATGTCCAAGTGGTGCAAAACTCAGTCCAAATATCTTCTAAAGAGCAGGTAACCATGCAAGGACTTTTCGGGCAATCAGTCCAAATGAAGTGTGATGCTACAGGTGTTTTACCACCTACGATCATCTGGATCTCACCAAGGAATGAGATAATTACCTCATCTTCGGTCAAATACCAAATCCTAAACGATGGGACTCTGATCATAAAAAAACTGACTTTGGCTGACCAGGGAAAGTATGCCTGTGTGGCACGGAACCTAGCCGGAGATTACATCAAGAATGTGAAGCTTCAAGTTGATGTTAATGGGCCGCAAATCAATGGACAGAGTGGGCGAACAGAGAACAAAGTTTTAGCAGTGTATTACCAGACACTACTGCTGGACTGCAAAGCAGAGGGTATGCCTGAGCCACAGGTCACCTGGACCACACCTTATAGCATGTCTCTACCCACCCCATATTTGGGAGGCAGGTTCCAAGTCCACAGGAATGGCACTCTTGAATTGAGGGGCATTCGAAAGACTGATGAAGGTCGGTTTCTGTGCGTAGCCAAGAACTTCTTAGGGGAAGCAAGTCTAGTAGTTGACCTGGAAGTAGCATCACTTGCTGAGAAGCCGAGCTTTTCAGTGCCAAATATAGAGGTTCTTCCTCTCAAACCAGATGGTGATGACATTTCTTTGGAGTGTCGTGCTACAGGAAAACCAAAGCCAGAGTTTCTTTGGATTCTACCCAATGGAACAGCACTGAATCCAGGCATGAAACTTCAACGGTTCACTCACTTCCTGGGAAATGGTACTTTACACATTATGCAACCAGGTGTCATTGACAAAGGTGTATATCGATGCTTGGCCAAAAATGTAGCTGGACAAGGAGAAAAGCGCTATGCTTTAGAACCTGGACAGAAGCCTCAAATTAGAAATAGTGCTACTGCAATGAAGCTTTCATTTGGGCAGACACTGAATATGCCATGTAATACGGATGGTTGGCCTCAGGCAGCAATTACCTGGACTCTTCCAAATGGCCTGGTCTTGGGCAAGCCTCAAGTTATTGGAAGAGTAACATATTTATCTAATGGCACACTTCAGGTAAAAGAAACTTCCAAATTTGATAGAGGAACATATACCTGCAAAGCCACAAACACATTTGGATCATCAACATTGTCATATCCAGTGAGTATTATGGTGTTTCCACCTCAAATCACTCAAGCCCCACCTTCCATAACCAGAGTTAACAGGGGGTCTCCTGTCATTCTGAACTGCATAGCTGCTGGCATACCCAAACCAGACATTTCTTGGACTCTGCCTGGACGAACCACACTTGTACCCAATAGTCGCTTCACAGCACAGAATGGAATTCACATGACAGAGGAGGGAAATTTGGTAATACAGGACCCAGGCCTCATGAACTCAGGGATTTACAAATGTAATGCTAGAAATGCCTTGGGAACGGACTTCAAAGCAACATACCTTCAAGTGATCTGAGCAATAGACAGAAATCCATTAGATGATATAGATGTAACCTAATTTCCAGAAAAGATGGGACCTTTTGTAAAATGCAATAAAATCTGTGTTAAAGGGACACCATGCAGGAATTCCGTTTTTTGTCAAACAGCGTCACTGTGGAGTAGTTGTATTTAACGTTACTGTCGTAAATACCACTCACGCAGAGCGTGACGTGTTACATAGTATACAATAGTACATTGTGTTTAATTTGTCGTTTAATGAGATAGGGTTCCCTATTTTAACGATCTGAAATGCAAGTGTCAAAGCGCATGGCGCAAGTAACTTTGTGGGCGGGTCCCGGCACTCTTGCTATTTTCCCGGCGGGATAAATGCCTCTTGGGCCTGGCGCAAATCTAAAAGGGGTTGGTCTGAAGTAGCTTCATTATTCATAGGTTTTTTTTTTTCATTATTCATACCTTTAAGAGCAGGTGCGCATGTTGCATGACGGATTGTTATTATAACGGCGGGTTTACCAGGCGCGCGCCAGGAGCGTTCACAGCCGATGAGACCGACGTTCTTGTCAGGACAGTGAAAGACAGAGAGGTGACGTTGTATGGGGATGGGAGAAACCCTCACACATCAGCGTCGGTTAAACATTATTTACGTACGTTTCTTGCCACTATTGGGCAAACAGGTATGATCCTTCACTACTACAATTAGCCTTAAAAAATGGGTAATTAGTTTTTTCATCTTCATGTAAACCACAATGATTTCCCTCATGTGTTAATATTTTTCCTTGTTATAATGTATGATTTGTAAAAAATAGAAACTACTGCATCTGTGTTGATGAGAGAATCAAAGTATATGCGCGTTATGTACCCGCTACATTATGGCCAAGCATGCGCGCTTAAAATAGCATTATGAACAATGCGCAACTGACTTTAGACCAAGTGTTTTCTGGTCAGTGGCACAATTGTTTTCTGGAAGTGTAAAATAGCACCAGGGAATGTTTGCGCCAAAACACGCCTCCTTTTTGCGCCGATCCACCCAGGGAGCGCAAGTTCATTCCCTAGTTTACCAACGTGCGTCTGTTGAGGGGAAAATCCCGCTTTGCGCGCGTGCAAAATAGGAATGCGTTTGTGTATAAAGTTATTTGCACCGGGTGCAAGATAGGGCCCATAATATACGTTGTTAATTTTCACGTGATTAAATACCCAGATCCGACAATTGTCCCCATGTACTTCAAAGGTCCAGTGGCTGAACTTGGGTTGGTCCTGGGTTCTAATCAGCACCAGTAGTATAGTTTATGATCGCAACGGCAACGAGCATTTTGGTCACTTGATTTCAAAAACAACATATTTCAGATTGCCTCTTATTTAAAGGTGCCATCTAACATAATAAATCAAATCCTACTCCATATTCCATAACAGATGGGGGCAGTATACCTCCAGAAAATGACTTGTGCTCCTACCATCGCGCATGTTATTCAAATCATTTGACATTATAGTAAAAGGTTGGAAGACCGCAGTTTCACGTAGAGCATTTGGAGATTTTTAGAGATCAGAGACTCAATGAACAACATCTCAACACTAAATGATGAAGACCGCTTTATAGACGCCTGTCTCAAAAACAAGCTGGTGCATTTCGACTATATGGGAAAATAAAAGCTTGGGCAATTATTTGAAGTTTATGGTAGGCCTATTCGTTTTGTTCATATTACACTTTTATTGTTAGTGAATTAATTTGACAGACAGCATTTGCTGATGTTGATCAAGCTAGCGCCGTGAATTCACCGTGAGACACACGCAATTGACACTTAGCAAGCAGGTTAGTTAAGCTCTCAGATTCTGTCAATTTTAGTACGCAATTCAAAGAATAAATACCGTTTTGGCGCTTGTACATGTTACACCACAGATCCCTAGCACACGTGAACCGATCGTCTCTACTAGCTAATGGAAAAAGGACATGAACTCTGTTGAAAGATACAGTATGCTACAACTTACCAAAATGTATTCCTCATGCATAATGTCGACCAATCATTTTTTGAACTCTTCCCTGAACTGAGATGTAGTAGTGGGCTGTATTTCCACACGACTGACATCAGGTTCAAGTACACACACACAAGCCGGCGCGAGCGCGGCTCACTCGTCTATTGCACTTTGGCTGGTGGTAACGTTGCCCGCCCGCATACCGCCTCCCATGGCCGGAACTGGTATTACGACACCTGCCGGGCCGGGGCTAGTAATTTAGCATGCTAATTCAGGTTAATATCTCGGCAGCACTATAACTTGTCAGTTTTTTAATAACATCATTGCACTTATTTCTTCTCATTCTTTTGATGCGTGTAGCTCATTTTTCGGATATTGTTACATCAATTATTACATATGGCACCTTTAAAAAATGAACAAAATGAATACTCTTTTAGAGTAAACTGATGTTTTATTTGTTTGTAATGGTACATCCATGCCGCGAGATATTTCAATAGCCGCATTTCCACTGCCGAGCAGTAGTGCCTGACAGGGCCAGTGGCGTTTCCACTGTCACTTGCGGGGCTTGATCGGGGCTTACTCAGGGCCAACAGCCAGGATTTCTGGCCCGTCGAATACCTTGGGCCAAAGCGGGCCAGCTCAGGCTAGAGACATGCTCAAGGTAAAAGGTTGACTTTATCTGTGTTATGGAACGTTATGATCTGAAGAAAGATGCACATTTCACTTTTTTATATTGCGCAAAATAATCGCTGCTCGAAATGGAGAATCGCCTGTACAGGTCTGTCAAAGATACCAAAGCTCTTCTGAGCTTCACAGTTTAAGATATTTTAGATTTAGTCGGCGAGCTTTCTGTCCCTCCATTGAAAATGTATGTACCTTATACTGTCCTTGTCCATAAAGGCAATACAGACATCATCAAAGTAGTCCATGTGACATGAGTGGGTTAGTTCGAATTTTATAAGCATCGAAAATACTTTTTGGTGCAAACATAGCAAAAACAACGACTTTATTCAGCATTGTATTCTCTTCCGGTTCTATTGTCATTGCTCGTTCACGATACCAATGACGCTGCTGACGTGTTATCTTGTGCGCCCGATTAGGACGATTAGGACATGATCACGCTCACCTGGCTATGTGCCTATGTCTTGCAGGTTTAGTGAATTCGCCGCCATTCTCCGTATCAGAGAAGACAACAACGAGCGACACAACTTTAGTCAACTTTCCACAAAAGTAGAAGATGGATTCAAAGGGGCTGTTTACACGCACTTCATGCGTTTTCTGTGATCGGATAGCTTGCCCTCCGAAAAGCATTTGAGACGGATTTGAATCCGATCGCTCAAATCACTTGAGGACGTGGTCTGGGCCGCATTCCAGACGAAACTGGACAAGTGTAAATGCATCTGGTTGTTGAAACCAGGCTATATGTCATGTTGTTTTAGTCATATATGACGACGCGCATCACCTCAGATGAGCAGCTGAGCGTCTATTCATAAAGCCAGCGCGCCGCAATCTATCGCAAATCAAAGTGAAAGTAAGTCGCAGATGCACTACCAGTCAGATGCATAAGTGCAATGATGTCATTAAAAAACTGACAAGTTATAGTGCTGCCGAGATATTAACCTGAATTAGCATGCTAAATTACTAGCCCCGGCCCAGGCAGGTGTCGTAATACCAGTTCCGGCCATGGGAGGCGGTATGCGGACGGGCAACGTTACCACCAGCCAAACTGCAATACACGAGTGAGTCGCGCTCGCGCCGGCTTATGTGTGTACTTGAAACTGATGTCAGTCGTGTGGAAATACAGCCCATTACTACATTTCAGTTCAGGGAAGAGTTCAAAAAATGATTGGTCGACATTATGCATGAGGAATACATTTTGGTAAGTTGTAGCATACTGTATCTTTCAACAGAGTTCATGTTCTTTTTCCATTAGCTAGTAGAGACGATCGGTTCACGTGTGCTAGGGATCTGTGGTGTAACATGTACAAGCGCCAAAACGGTATTTATTCTTTGAATTGCATAATAAAATTGACAGAATCTGAGAGCTTAAAGCTGTAGTATACGATGTTGAAAATCGGTCGAGAAAGCCTGAAACGGGAGGGAAGTTTTAAAAAACTCATCCTGCCTCTCCACACACACACACACACACACACACCCCTCCCCTCTGCTACCTGATCCCTCCCGGGAAACGAATTGAACAACGTCACTCAGTCAAGTTGTGATCATCATACTTTCACAACATTGCTTAGTCGCTTCAATCTAATGACATTGCTAATGACACTTCATATGTAAAATTGCCTTTAGACACTTGAACTTAGTTGCTTCATCAACAATTCAATAACACGTTTGAGATCACACCAACGCAAGATTAGCAACACATGAAATGTTCTACACTACCCACCACCATAAGTATGATATTAGTAGTATTGCGAAGGTTTTGAGTAATTGTTATAGCAGCATACAGCGCATCTTGTTTAAATTCCGATCGGCTCGAACAGAAACCCGCTAGGCATACTGAAATATAATCAAGCACTTCAAGAAATACATTTACTTTGACCCGTGATAGGCGATGCTAAACAGCAAACATTCCAATGCCAACCTGCAGCATTAGCAAGTTGTCAGACTGATAAAAATCTATTTATGTAACACGTCATGCGACTCACGCCATATAAGAGTATAAATAAATGTTTAACGTTACCTGCTCAACAAAAAGTCAGCAGTGTCAGCATCGGTATTCAGTCCCAGATCTCGCTGAAGCTTTCTCCATCGGTCAATGGTGGACCCTATATTTATTCTCCTCAAATTTCGGCATTCTTCACATTTTCTTGTAGGGGCAAGCAGGGGGCGCTAGCTGTTGTCTTTTTCGTTTTTATCCATTGCTGATATGCTACTTAGCTACACTGTAAAAAATTGTAAGCCAGCACAACAAAAAAAATCTTAGTACCAATTTCCTTCAGTTTTTTTTTTGTTTACTCAACTTTTGTAAATAATAGTTATACCAACTGAAATTAAGTTGTCACTCACACAAAAAATATTTAATTGTGTTAACTTAAGATTGTTAGTTTTGTGGAGAGGTGCAACTATTTTTTAACAAAACTTTTTAAGTTGAGCCAATTCAACATTTTTGGTCTGTAGAACTCAATGTCTGAAGTTGAGTGAACAAAAAAATCCTATTGGAAATTGGTACTAAGTAATAATACGTTACGACTGGAAACTAAAATAACATTGCTTAAGTCAAAAACTGAAAACAGTGAGTCAATGTTAACAAAACATTTATTCTTGTTGGAGGCAACAAGTACACTTACAAACTGTTATAAAACTGTAAGTGTAATTTGCAACACTGCAAATTGAAATAATAAAATACTGCATCACAGTAAAACAGTTTTACAAAACACTGCCAATGCACATGAGGAACACAATCTTCCCAAATTTAAAAGTCCATTCATCTACAAAGCAATGGACTTTCCATCCATCTGAAACATTTACACCTGAATCAACAAAATCAGGTCAACTCAAAATAGCCCCACACCAACACGACAGCAGGGTCCCTACATTCAAACCGAAGCATTGAGAACTTTGTCAGTGTCCAAACAGTTTAATAAGAAGATATTTTATACACACAGAGGCTATTTTGAGTCTTGTTAGTGGTAATAACAAGCGACAGAGGCTATTTTGAGTCTTGTTAGTGGTAATAACAAGCGATTTTTATTTGTCATTACTCTATGCCCTATATACTAGCGTTATACTAGCATTATAGGCTAAACTGTTTTTAGAGATAAAACTATTTACATTCGGCAATCATGAAAACAAATCTCAGATAACGGTTGACTAGGTAACAATGTGTAATTAGACCAAAGGTTCATTTTGCACCGGAGTTGTCCTTTAAAGGGATAGTTCTCTTTGAAATGAATTACCTCAAGGGCATCCAAAATGTAGGTGTCTTTGTTTCCACAGTATTTTCAATTTTGACATTTTTCAGTCAAACCGTTGTTTTCTATCAGTCATACACTGGAGGCTAAGGGGGTCCACCTCAAAGAGCAGCACAGAGAAGTCAAAATTAAACATGATTTAATGACTCGTAAATGCAAGTACACATTGATGGCCTAAGACATGAAACGAACGTTTTTTGTGAGAAAACGAACAGTATTTATATCATTTTTATCTCGTGTAATCACAGTGATCTGAATCAGTTCAATGTTACGCCGGAAGTGATCGTTTGCGTGTGACGTCACTCAATATTTACACGGAGATTTCGTAAGTTTAAGAAGAAGGTAAAACTTCCGAAATCTCTGTATAAACAAAGAGTGACGTAGGCACGCAAGCGATCATATCCAGCGCATGCGCAGACCGAAGCGCCCGTGCCGTCACATCATTTTGTCATGGCTATGATTACGAGAGGTAAAAACGGCAAAATACTGTTCGTTTTCGCACACAAACAACTCGTTTCGTGTCTTAGGCCATCAGTGTGTACTTACATTTACGAGTCATTAAATCATGTTTAATTTGGACTTCTCTGTGCATACTCTTTGGTGGACCCCCTTAGCCTCCAGTGTATGACTGACAGACAACAACGGTTTGACCAAAAAATGTCAAAATTGAAAATGCTGTGGAAACAAAGACACCTACATCTTGGATGCCCTTGAGGTAAGATAAAACATATCAAAAATTAATTTCAAAGTGAACTATCCCTTTAAACACTGCTGTTAAAACAGTATTACAAAACTCTAACACTGAGTATCGATTCAACCATGAAAATTGAAATACTGCAATAAAACAGTATTACAAAGCGCTAACACTGAATATGAAATGTAGCTGAACAGTAGCAAATGTAAACATTTTAGAGAATTCAAGGCTAAGGCTTTAAAATTCAAATTTCACTAAACAATATACATTAACATCCTAACAAACAACATCATTATGCCAAAGGTACCCTACCCACCAACAGTAAAATCATCTAAAACTCCCTAAATAGCAAGTAGCTTTTTCTTTAAGGACTGGACTCTGTTGGTGCACTTTTCTCCAAATCCCACAAAGATGTTCTGCACTGCCTCAAATGTGTATTTTAGTCCTTTTGAATACTCAATGTTCAGCGCATAGAGAAGTCCAAAGAGTACCATGAAAGCAGTAGGAAAGTCAGGTCCTCCATGACGACGGTTTCCTCAAGAATGATGGCGAAGTTTAGACATGTCTTTGTTGTCTGTAAGATATGGTCCTCCATGACTTCAAGGATGCACAATTTCACACCTCTTGTGTAGTTTTCTTTCAAATCAGTGTCCTAAGAATGATATAAATTTCATTAAAAAAATGGTTGTGCAAAAAAAAAAAAACAAAGCTCAAACTCTTGCAAACAAAACATGGCACTCTGACAAGCAGGACAAGGATAAGAGCCATGTGATCAAGCTCACCTGCCTCGTTACTCACAAAAGGAGGTCCGGATGAATAAAAGGAAAAGCGAGAACAGTGCAAGATGAGTGAAGACCAGGCCTGGATTATTTATGTTACGTTTTATGTATGCGTCTCTTGACGAGTCCCTCACAGAGAACTGCCGCTCAAACATAAACAAAACGTAACATAAATAGTCTAAGCCTGGTCCTCTTACATCCTTCACTTTCGTCGCTCCTCCTTTCATCAATCCAAAGCTCTTCTGTGAGACACTCGAAACCGGTGCTGCATGGAGGTGAATCTCCTTATCAACCATGTCACCGGCCTTGCACCGTTCTCACGGCTCTCAGCCTTGTACTGCTTGCCACAGGCACAGTATGTGTTAACCTGATGTAAATACTTTTTACAACAAGCCACATGGAAACTGTCAGCACATTAATTAAATATAACCACACATTTCATAAAATAGCAGTTTTAAATGTAAATATGACATGAAAAAAAGCTAAAAACTTACCAGACAAGTCTTTGATATTGCATCACACTCCGAGGTACAAGGGGAGTCCCCGTAAAGCTGTAGCGTGTCTGTGTGATAAGATATCTGTTGTCTAGAGGGAGATAAATTATTTTAATTATGATTAACTTCTGCACGAATCCTCAAAGATCGTTTAAAGAGACTTAAAAAAATAGTGTCACAGAAAATGTATTAGGTATGGGCAAAGGGTCAGAAATGAAGGGGGCTCAGGGCAAAATAATCTACAAAAACTGACAACAAAAATGTAATATACTTCCACAATCTTGACCTATGTGATAATCGCATAGATCACATTTAAATGTAGCTTGCACCGTTGTTTTATCAGAATTTGTGTGGACCCTATATAAATGTGTTTTCAACGCACCTGGTGTTTTGAAAGAGCAGACACACTCAGGGTACAGGCACAACAATGGTTCACGTCGGCCTGGGTGCCAGTGCTTTAGCCTGCAGTGTCTCAGCAGCAGATTTTGACTGGCACAACTGTATTTGCAGTATCTACACTGCATGAAGTTTCCTCTCAAGGTAGATCTGTTTAAGAAAAGAAAAAAAGACAAACGTGAATGATCAGTTTCATGAAAGGCAAATTAATGAATGAACAATGAATTTACACTGCAAAAAAAGCTTTTCTTTAATTATAAATTAATAATTGTGTCTTTGTCTCCAGTCCAAATATCTAAAAAGTCTTAAATCAAGATGCATTAACTAGATGAGTAAAATACTAGTAGAATAAAAGTAGAAAGCGAAAATAAGTGAGTTTTTGCTTTAAAAAAGCAAAATTATCCAATAAGAAAAATAAATTAATTCAAACAAAAACAAGAATATTTTCCCTATTCCATTGGCATATAATTTAGTTTTTGTTTTTTTAAAGTAAAAATTCGATTAATTTATTTCCCCTGAAAACCAGACAAATTATCTTATGACTTTAAGCCTACTCATCTAGTAAATGCATCTTGATTTGAGACTTTTTAGATATTTGGACTGGAAACAAGACAATTACTAAATAAGAAAAGCTTTTGTTGCAGTGTATAACGTTACCTAGGCTTCTGCTTTTTATTTTTTAGCGTATGACAACTGCTGCACAGAGATTTTTCAAAAATCATTATCTCTTCAGAACTTTATTAAATATTAATCAATATGTACTGTTGGAGCAATTAATCAGAATTCTCAGTTGCCCTTTATTATTAGCAGATGGAGAGAAATGTAATATGTTAAAGTCAAGAATGTGCGCGACTGAAAAAAATGATAACGTCACTGTGCAGCAAAAGCCATCACAACAAAAAACTTAGCGTAAATATTTCACGTAACGATAAAATAATGCAAAATAAAGCTTGATAGATTGATTACAAAATAAAGCTAGATAGAGTTAAACATTCAGTAATGTTGATATCTTACAACGTTAAAGTTAGTGGTGTTTATATTTTTACCAAATTAACTAATATAAAGTAATTCAGAAGTAAAGTACAACAAAAAAACAAATAAAAGCACTCACCATATATTCCTCCGTCTGGATTATTATCGCCCACGTGCTGCCTCTAGATTTTCTGTAAAATCTGTAACTTAGCTGCTAAAGATTTTTCTTCGGCCGCGTGATGAACAACACGCCTGTTCTTCTCAAATTGTTTCTCCCGCAATAAAAAGTGAACGTTGACGTTGAGTCATAGCAAGTTTGAGCAAAGGTCACGTACTGGGGGCGTGGTTTGGCACGAGAGAAAAATATAATGTTTATCGGAAAACATGCTGCTAATTCTTTTTAAATGTATTTTTTTATTTAAATGTAACATTTCAATAAAATAAAAAAGAACTCTTTGCTAGGCTAATTGTGTTATGTTCTGTCTGTGAACCCAATTACGCAAACTAGTGAGATGAGAGCTTTGGCGCCCACTAACGAACTTCACAGTAAAAGTCTTCCTCCGCAAAATTAATGCTGCCTTCACGTGCTATCTTAAATTTCCTCCAGCTTTTGAAATCGTGATTTTGACTTGAGGTCAATTTTAACTTAATTTCCTTTTTATTATTTCTTTTTTTTTTCTTTGATGAAGAAACTAATATTTATAAGAATTCCAATACCACGTGAAGGCAGCATCATTTCCAGAGTTCATAATATAATGCTGTGCACAATATACACTCACCGGCCACTTTATTAGGTGGTACCCCATGCTAGTAACGGGTTGAACCCCCTTTTGCCTTCAGAACTGCCTCAATTCTTTGTGGCATAGATTCAACAAGGTGCTGGAAGCATTCCTCAGGGAGTTTGGTCCATATTGACATGATGGCATCACACAGTTGCCGCAGATTTGTCGGCTGCACATCCATGATGCGAATCTCCCGTTCCACCACATCCCAAAGATGCTCTATTGGATTGAGATCTGGTGACTGTGGAGGCCATTTGAGTACAGCGAACTCATTGTCATGTTCAAGAAACCAGTCTGAGATGATTCCAGCTTTATGACATGGCGCATTATCCTGCTGAAAGTAGCCATCAGAAGTTGGGTACATTGTGGTCATAAAGGGATGGACATGGTCAGCAACAATACTCAGGTAGGCTGTGGCGTTGCAACGATGCTCAATTGGTACCAAGGGGCCCAAAGAGTGCCAAGAAAATATTCCCCACACCATGACACCACCACCAGCAGCCTGAACCGTTGATACAAGGCAGGATGGATCCATGCTTTCATGTTGTAGACGCCAAATTCTGACCCTACCATCCGAATGTCGCAGCAGAAATCGAGACTCATCAGACCAGGCAACGTTTTTCCAATCTTCTATTGTCCAATTTCGATGAGCTTGTGCAAATTGTAGCCTCAGTTTCCTGTTCTTAGCTGAAAGGAGTGGCACCCGGTGTGGTCTTCTGCTGCTGTAGCCCATCTGCCTCAAAGTTCGACGTACTGTGCGTTCAGAGATGCTCTTCTGCCCACCTTGGTTGTAACGGGTGGTTATTTGAGTCACTGTTGCCCTTCTATCAGCTCGAACCAGTCTGGCCATTCTCCTCTGACCTCTGGCATCAACAAGGCATTTCCGCCCACAGAACTGCCGCTCACTGGATGTTTTTTCTTTTTCGGACCATTCTCTGTAAACCCTAGAGATGGTTGTGCGTGAAAATCCCAGTAGATTAGCAGTTTCTGAAATACTCAGACCAGCCCTTCTGGCACCAACAATCTTGCCACGTTCAAAGTCACTCAAATCACCTTTCTTCCCCATACTGATGCTCGGTTTGAACTGCAGGAGATTGTCTTGACCATGTCTACATGCCTAAATGCACTGAGTTGCCGCCATGTGATTGGCTGCTTAGAAATTAAGTGTTAACGAGCAGTTGGACAGGTGTACCTAATAAAGTGGCCGGTGAGTGTACTTCTACTATTGCTGCTATTACTACTACTACTAATAATAATAATAATAATAATAATAATATATTATTATTGTACATTATCTGTATATTATTATTTATACAGTGGGCATTATTTAATTGACAATAATACTATTATTCAATTCAACTTTATTTCTAGACTTAAAGTCCATAAAATGTGCGTCTATCTATCTATCTATCTATCTATCTATCTATCTATCTATCTATCTATCTATCTATAATATCAACAATATTATTATTTTTCAATAATGTTATTTTACAGCTATACATTTGGCGCAATGAAGTTATTTAAAAAAAATAACTAAACAACCATGTTTCTTCAATGTCACAAACAAATTGTATTTGTATCAGTATTTGCTAGTGGGAGGGCAGTTACTAACTTAACTTAATAAGTTGGCAGAAGTTTTTTGGATGAACTAGCAAAACCTTGTTCACAAAATTAAACTTTTTAAGTTTATGGAAAGAAACTTGGTTTAGGTTGAATAAATGTATTAAACATAGTTGTACTGACTTTTTCATAGAATTTTGCTGAGCCAGCACAACAAAACCAGTCATTTGAACCTTTTTCAAGTTGGGTTTTTTACATATGTGGTCAGCTGCTAACACGCGCGATTCTCATGACACAGAAGGGGAGCGCGGTCGGGTGCGGTGGAGACGCGAGCACCAGGCGGAGTTTCAAGTGTAGCTGGTGATTGGATGAGAGCAGTTGACCAATGTAGCTTTGCGGCCACAAAGCTTTCATTGGTCAACTATTATGCGGCTGTACAGCCAATAGAGTGAATGCATTTTTTCGTTCTTTTTTCTATTCATATTGTTAGGATTGTACTATATAACCATAACCAGCATCTAAACGAGGATATTAATAATGAACAATCTTTGAAATCGTATACCCTAGCTTTAACTAACCTGCTTGCTAAGTGTCAATTGCGTGTCTCATGGTGAATTCACGGCGCTAGCTTGATCAACATCAGCGAATACTGTCTGTCAAATTAATTCATAAAAGTGTAATATGAACAAAACGAATACCATAAACTTCAAATAATTGCCCAAGCTTTTATTTCCCCATATCGTCGAAATGCACCAGCTTGTTTTTGAGACAGGCGTCTATGAGGCGGTCTTCATCATTTAGTGTTGAGATGTTGTTCAATGTCTGTTGTTCAATGTCTGTTGTTCAATGTCTGTTGTGAGATGTCTCTGATCTCTAAACATCTCCAAATGCTCCATGTGAAACTGCTGTCTTCCAACCTTTTACTATCATGTCAAATGATTTGAATAACATGCGCGATGGTAGGAGCACAAGTCATTTTCTGGAGGTATACTGCCCCCATCTGTTATGGAATATGGAGTAGGATTTGATTTATTATGTCAGATGGCACCTTTAAAAATGCCCTCATCAATGTTGTTAAATGCTTGTTAGCTTTGGATCTGCGCATTCATTGACCCAAGGATAAGATGTCTTTGGCATCCTGTTTTTAATTTATAATAACATTAGTTTGTACATATTTATATATTCCACAGGGTAAACAATCATTTTACATAGTTTTTCTAACATAAATTGTACATAAAACATTCCAGAATGTCTGCAAATATTCTGAAATACTGTATGTTGAATTTCTTGCATTCTTTAGTGCGTTAGAACAAAATGGCCTTGTCAGAGAGGAATGAGGCAATGTATGGTACAAATGTTGCTAATGATGTGGTAGCTGAACAAAAAATAAGACAAGAACACAATTATGTAATATGCTTACTATATATTACTATAAATAAGACAAGAACACAATTATGTAATATGCCAATAAATAACATTATTATGGTATTTTTGTTTCAACTCTTTAATACCATTTATTTTACAAAATGTCACAATTGCACCATAATACTAAGGAAATTAAAGTGGGCCTATTAATTTAATTTGAGATCTATTAGATTTTAAATGTTAGACGCCACAGTTATGAATCAAGCAATAGTACTAATTAATGCAGAGGACATAAAAATCACAGTGAGATATTAATGAGATCTCCTTGACAGTTGTTTTTTTGTGCATGTGTTTTCTGATTTGTCTGCTCCAGAGTTTGACAATGTCACAATCTGTGCAATAGATTTGCCAAGATACTAAAGTTTTCAAACAAAAGTCAGATCTCAATATAAACTATGAAATATGAATATCTTATTAAATTCACTCAAGAGCAAACTGTCTGAGCTATTCTATACACATGCGTTTTATGGCTACATACTCTTAGTGTATTTGAACAATTTTCAAGATTTTTTTTTTCTTCTGATTGATACATAAATGAAACCTAAATTAATTCCATAAATCTATGAGCTATGATAGAGTGATAAAATACAGTTAGAGGTCTGAAAATTAAAATTCTGTCATAATTGATTCACGCAGCAATGAAATCTTCTCTATGCGTTGTCTATTCCACATATTAAAACGGAAGTGTAATGCTCAGTTATGACACATCCTAGAAATGGCAAATGTAGACAAAAATATCAAACCTTGCCATACTATTTTTTAAATCCGAAAAAAAAAAAATGCATATAACTACAGTTTTGCAGAGGGGTATTTCCGTCAATAACTGATTTGGTTAAAAAGAAATACTGTAAAAGCAAAATTACAGTTTTTTACAATCGCTATGACAATTTTTCAATACTATTAACAAATTTTCTAAACTCTTAACACACCAACACACCTGCAACACACAATTGGCACAAACACAAAAACGGTTAATTTTATATACAGCATGTCAAGCCTGACCTTATACAATAGACAGTATATTTGATTGTTTATGCAGTAGATTGTTTTGCACTCCAGTTTATTTTTAAGCTTCTCTACAGTTTTGTTAGCAAATGTGTGCATTTTGTTTCCAGTGTTGTAGAAATTCAATACAAAAAAAAAAAAAATACAAAAAAACTGTTTAGCTGGGATGTCTTGGGATGCAGAATCCACTGCATCCAGGAGGGACATTTGGTCCTGTGGACGATGGTCAAAAAACTTTTTTTGTGATCAAATGTTTATTTATTTTTCCTTTTAGAAGGCAATATATACAGGTATTTACAAGCCACAGAAACAGCGTACATATATATGTAGCCATATAGAGTATATATAGACATATGCACACACCTCCATATATACAAGCATTTGCATACATATCTATAGACAATGGTCAAAAACCTTCCATCTCCAGGCTAAGAAAGGGAAAGGGGACATCATCCTCTGATGGGATCAAACCAGGCCATGATTGCACTGGAATTGTGAAATGCCACATTGTCACATTGTCCCATATTTGCATTATTTAATCAGCTGTTTCTCAGTAACAATAGAATAAAATACAGGGGAATCATTTATTTTTCAATTCACAATATAAACAGCTGTTTACCTTGACTTTAGCCTGTAAGATTAGGTTTAGAACATGGTGTTATCTGTTCTGACATACAGTGTTAAAGCAATGGTAACTTTTACAGTAAAAATCCATTGTTTGTTTTGTTTGAGCTTGTGTGTAAAATAAGTTCAAGCATTTTAATTTGTGTTAATTGTATGCATTTTGTGTTAAAGCAACAAGAAAAGTGTTAATAGTATAGCTTACACAGCCGGATGTAGTGCTAACTGTGTTTTGGAAAATTGTTAAAAGTATTGAAAAATCTGTCATAGCAATTGTAAAAAACTGTAAATGAATTCAGGCAACTTGGACCATCATGAAGAGTCAAATGGAGTTCTTTTTTGGACACTTTTATGATGTTTTGTTGACATATCACAAACTGTCTGGAAAAAGAGTTATAATATTCTTCTTCCAAAATTATGTTGTATTCCACTGCATTTAGTGATAATAGTCAAGTCACCTTTATTTATAGTGCTTTTTACAATATAGATTGTATCAAAGCAGTAAGATAGGAAAAACATGAGGGTAAAATACTGACAGTATTTTAAATTTGTGGGTGAACTATCCCTTTAAATTTAACTACCATACCCATGCTCTCATTTTTATTCAATTATGGGTAAAGTATCATTTATTTTTCAGCTATTATACGATTTTAATTGCGTTAAGGCTACTGCATCAGCTAGGATACTTGTCAGTCTGTCCATGTAAACTAAAGTGTAAACTCATTGCATCTGCAAAGGGAGTGTATCTGCCATCCCTTCCCCCATCCCCACCACCACCACCATCACCGCCGGACCAGTGAACACCAGGCTCGGTACATCATTTCACCGTTATGGCAAATGAATTCCCAGAAAACAGAGAAAGAACTGCCAACTCACGCCATGCAAACATCACGTCGTCTCTGGACCTGAGCACGTCTCTAGACCACAGTGTGCAGACGCGGATTTTTAAAATCATTGTCATCGGGGACTCAAATGTTGGTAAGACCTGTTTAACCTTCCGCTTCACCGGCGGAGCCTTCCCCTGCAAGACTGAAGCAACCATCGGCGTGGATTTCAGGGAGAAAGCTGTGGAAATCGAGGGCGAGAAAATAAAGGTAGGATATATTGTCGTGGCTGCGCTCTTCCGAAGGCCGATATCTCGTTGTGTCACGATCGTATTGTGTGTGTGCTGTGACAGCAGCAGCATCAAGCTCAATGTTTACATTCTGACCATGACTCCTGATCGCATGTTGCATGAAGGCACCTGGTCATTGTCTTTAATTTCAGACTAATCAAATTACATGCCTTAATATCGACAATTTAGAAAACACCTGCTATTTCATTGTAATGCTCCTCCATAAGTAAATTGGTCAATTGAACATTCAAAAAATTAGTAATCTTTAGTACTTCTTGAGTTACAGGCATGCAAACTAACTTGAGGCAAAAAAAGTGCCTTTTTTTGTTGTTTTGTTTTTATTACCATTTTTGAACAGTATCCATTGGCAAATCCACAAGTTTCCTACGCCCCATGAGGCCTTGCGTCAAAAGTGGGCGCGTCTTCCGGTTCGAAGTAAACCAAGATACTTTTTTTTTTTTTTTTTTTTTTTTTTAATTGAACATAATATTAACAACCATAATTGGCCTGTTGGCCTGGTACAACATATGAACTGTCTTTAGACAACAGACAAGCACCTTCAGGAAAGAGAAAATACAAATACAGTAATGACTTGACATACTTCACACTCGTTCATTTAACAGTTGATAGTCATTCAAGTTATAGCGATCCAAACTAGCTAACGATGTGGGAACACAACCTCAACGAAATTAAAAAGCGTGAAATAACAGTAGCTACCTTTACCCTCCGCAGTTACTTGGTTGGGAGTATTATAATAACATTATTAATATCAATACTCATCAAGGCATGGTGACAGACAGTTGTGTGAGCTGACAAACAATTAAAATAAAAAATACACACTTAGTCATTGTGCTTTGGAGTTTATTCAAAATTATAAATGAATGCTACTTGAATACATTAACTGGCACATTTGGTATTCTGTCAACTCAGGCTTTGATCCTGAGTTTAGGTGTATCATCAGTAGCGAACAGCCAAACACATGCTGATAGATTTTATAGAATATTAAGATTTAAACAAATGTACACAGAAAGATTCATAGTCGTTTGGGAGGTGATGGAAACTAACGTTACAGTCATTGGCAGGATCACTCTGATTTCGTTTTCGGCTTATGTTCAAAACAATCACGTTTAAGCCACTGAATTAGTTTAGTCCGGTTATACATACAACCGCGAACAGCACATGTTGTCCCTGAGCTCCGTAACGACATCTCTCATAAAGATTTGCGTCTTTAAATAGTTAAATAATTCTCTGAAAAACAGCTAGCCTCTTCGCTAACTAACACACAAAATACCATTGGAATGCTACTTCCGCCGCCTTACCGGAAGTTTCACCCACTTTATTTTTTACAGGAGCGCCCCTTGGAAACTTGTGGATAGCCCAATGCAACAAAGATTGCTAAAGTCAACAGATTTAACTTATAGAGCTCCCAATCTCTGTAAAAAAAATAAATGATAATGCTGCCATCTTCAGTCACTCTTTTTACCCCCTTGTAATTTGACTCCAAATCTCAGGTGAAAATTGTCATTTTGACCCCACTCTTCAAAATAATGGATTACTCAGTAAATATACACTCACCTAAATTATTATTAGGAACACCATAGTAATAGTGTGTTTAACATCCTTTCGCCTTCAGATCTGCCTTAATTCTTTGTGGCATTGATTTAACAAGGTGCTATTAACATTCTTTAGAAATGTTGGCCCATATTGATAGGATAGCATCTTGCAGTTAATGGAGTTTTGTGGGATGCACATCCAGGGCACGAAGGTCCCGTTCCACCACATCCCAAAGATGCTCTATTGGGTTGAGATCTGGTGACTGTGGGGGCCATTTTAGTACAGTGAACTCATTCTCATGTTCAAGAAACAAAGTTGAAATGATTCAAGCTTTTTGGTGCATTATCTTGCTGGAAGTAGCCATCAGAGGATGGGTACATGGTGGCCATAAAAGGATGGACATGGTCAGAAACAATGCTCAGGTAGCCCGTGGCATTTAAACAATGTCCAATCGGCACTAATGGGTGTCAAGAAAACGTCCCCCACACCATTACACCACCACCACCAGCCTGCAGGATGGTAACAAGGCATGATGGATCCATGTTCTCAGCAGAAATCGAGACATCAGAACAGGCAACATTTTTCCAGTCATCAACTGTCCAATTCACCTTTGGCTAAGCCACACCCTAGAATGTAGATTGACGTCTCATATTTTTGGTCTCGGCAGGCTATTACCATCGTAGTTTTATCCAAAATATGGTTAAACGTTGTGCCTCGGGCATTTGTAACACAGATACGCGTTTCCCAGAGAGGTTGGAGGGGGGTGTCCGTTTTTTCCCTTCCCAAAACCGAAGTCAAATCCTGACAAGTGTCGTCTTTGGAAACTGTGTGGATGCCCTCAGTCAGCTTGAGCTAAACCCCATAAAGATCAACAAGCACATCTTTTTTTACTTCTAACCTTACTGTGAGTGTGAAGTTATACTAGTTACCGTTTTTTAATGTTTTAGGTTATGATTTCGGTTCTCATACCGGTTGTTGATACGCTATCACATGCTGCTAATAAATACAACGTTATACTCGTGTAGTCTGTTTGCTTTGTAATAACGATTATAGAAGTGAATAGAGACCTACCCAGCTTTGCATGAATAGTGTTGCTCCCTGAAATTGTTAGTTCCAGCCTCCGTCTCGACTAGTAGGATATGCGGTGGTTCATGTTTTGACTGTGACCGGTAACGTTATGCTTTTGCCTCTATTTTGGGTGCCTTGTTGTTTCTTGCGTTTCACCTGTATGTCTTATATATAGCCTTCGAACGCATATTGCAGCCCCTTTTGCCTACTTCTATTGGACACTTTATTTGCTGCTTTTAGTGCTTTATAAAAGTTTGATAACATTTCAGCAGGAAGAGCTGTTACAGCATAACACCGTGTCCTAACTACACGCGACGCGATAAAATTCCAGCGACAGCAAGTGTGTCTGTTCACACTATACGCGACGCGGCTGTGAGATGCCACACATTCAGAACAGCGTGTGAGCCTATGGTGTGAGCAGAGTCTCTCTGTGAAAGCGCACTGTTGGCCCGCACTCGCATTGGAAATGGGTAAGGACATAATCAAATCAAGAAATAACATTATTAAAAATCTAAACATTTACAAAATATACTCATTGACTAATTTTGTTATGAAGTACTGTGCGTATGTTTGCATAGAATTCATTTTGAACGCTATATTACATGCTTTCAAAATCTGAGGTAAATTATCCGTTGTCGCTTGTGGCACAGTGACCTATTTTTAACTAAAAATAAATAATGTATTCTCATAACCAGTGTAATTTCTTCATTCTGTCAGCCGCGACGTCACAGAAATAGGAACCGTTTCTAAATTAGAAACTTCGCATGTCGCCGTCGCGTCTGGTTAGGACAAAAACTCTGATTAACATGGAAAAGATACCTTTTATCGCGTGTTGCGGCGTCGCGTCGCGTGTAGTTAGGACACGGTGTAAGCCATTCAGAGCGCAGATGAAGTTTGACGGATGTAGCAACAGTAACTAAGGGGGGCGGGGCTTAGCCAAAGGTGAATTTTGGTGAGCTCTTGCAAATTGTAGCCTCTTTTTCCTATTTGTAGTGGAGATGAGTGGTACCCGGTGGGGTCTTCTGCTGTTGTAGCCCATCCGTCTCAAGGTTGTGCGCATTGTGGCTTCACAAATGCTTTGCTCCATACCTCGGTTGTAACGAGTGGTTATTTCTCTCAAAGTTCCTCTTCTATCAGCTTGAATCAGTTGGCCCATTCTCTTCTGACCTCTAGCATCAACAAGGCATTTTCGCCTACAGGACTGCCACATACTGGGTGTTTTTCCCTCTTCACGCCATTCTTTGTAAACCCTACAAGTGCGTGAAAATCACAGTAACTGAGCAGATTGTGAAATACTCAGACCGGCCCGTCTGGCACCAACAACCATGCCACGCTCAAAATTGCTTAAATCACCTTTCTTTCCCATTCTGACATTCCGTTTGGAGTTCAGGAGATTGTCTTGAACAGGGGCCTATACCATGAAGCTGGTTTAGGTGGCTAGCCAGCTATGTTTCAGTTTAGTTTGTGCCAACCCTGGGTTTTAGGCACCATGAAATAGTGTTGCACGGTGCACATATACTTCAAAAGTATCGCGATACTCGGAAATTAAAAACCTCACGATACCTAAATTTATTAGTATCGATACTTTTATGAATGACCGCGACCCAGATTTGTAAGAGACGTATTTCATGTTGGTGTGTGCCACGCACGCTTCCAGTCTCTACCTATGAATGTCTGTGTATCTCCTCACGCACACAGCAAAGAAGCTGCAGCTGTCATGAGACAAACACACTACCGCGAGACGGCTGCATGCGCGAGCACACGTGATACAGTGGCCGTCTGTCAGTAGCGGAGTGGCAATCAGGAGAGTCGGATCTTTTCCCGGTGGGCCGGTGGTGTTTAGAGGCCGTGAGGGCCGGTCTGATAGTTACACATTGCAAGTTATTAGCAACACAATCAAGAGGTCTCTGCAACGGCGATAGTTTGAAGCGCCGACTTCAGACGGTGCGCGACTGTGCGAACCGCAAAAGACACTGTATCCAATTGATAGCAGCGAAAAAAGCTTGATTTAAAAAAAAAAACAACAACAACAGATTTTAGCGCTAGATCTCTTATTTAATAGCGAACTAAATTAATTATCTGCTAGACTAGTTAACTGGAGATGTTCCATTTATTTTTGTTTTAGGTGTACAACTTTCCCCCCAACTTTCATAGATAGCATAAATAATTTGCAAGCTGCTAAAATAAAGGATACGAAACATCAGCAAAATGATCTATCGGCTATATGATTATAATCAGAGCATGTGCATGTCAGTGATTTATTTATATTAGGTTATTACAGCATTAAAGAGCACAGACCTATGCAAAGGAGGTGCATATGAAACACCTTGTAAGAAATACTTTCCTTTTCAGGAAAAGTATCGAAAAAGTATCGAAATCGCAATACTTGACTTGGTATTGGTATCGAAACAATAATTTTGGTATCGTGACAACACTACCATGAAAGTGGTTTGGCTTTTAGCAGTGTTCATCGCCATAGTAACTTACATTCCACGGCTAACCTGGTCCGGGGCAGGTTATGTTCCAGGTAAGAGGTTGCAAACCGAACTTGGACCAATCAGCTGTGAGCAAAGTGACACATGTATGACGGGATAACGTCACTCCACAGCAAATGATTTTAAAAGACAAAATCAGGGCTTTTAGTAAATAAATTGTAATGATTTAGACATTTTTTCTGTAATTATTATACCCTAATACAATCTCACATGTACAGTTTCAGTTCATCTATTATTATTACGCAGATTTTAAAGGAATACGTACATAAAGGTAATATAAATACACTTTAGAATCAATAAATGAAGCTATAAAATGACTACATGTGAGCTTAAATGTTAAATTCTCTCTATACCTTTCATAGACAGCTATTTTCTTTTTGCTGTGTAAATTTGTTTAAATTCTTAATATTTTAATACTTTTATTTAATTGCGTTAAATTTAATACTTAAATAAGTGAATTGCGGTACTTCTCTGGCGAGAAATTAATTTCAATGAGTTTTTAATGAGTTTTACTCTTTCTCAGTATGTGATTGGCTGTTTGCTACTGATGTCACACCTAAACTCCTAAACTCAGGATCAAAGCCTGCGTTATCAGCATTATGGTACCAACAAAGCCTGGTTGGATTGGTTTGGTTTTGTCAACTCGAAACTAATCCTGCAACCCTGAGTTTGTTCAACTACCATCATGGTACAGGCCCCAGGACATACATCCCTACATGCGTTGAAGCAACTGCCATGTGATTGGTTGATTAGATAATTGCATTAATGAGAAATTTGAAAGGTGTTCCTAATAATCCTTTAGCTGAGTGTACATCCATGACATTTAATATTTTGGTTTTCATCACTATTTATCTTTGTCTTTCTTCAGAAAAAAATATTAACAAAATCAAAAATGTTATCAACTCAATACATAGACTGGTGGAAAGGGCATGACAGTACATAGATAACACACAAATACACACACAGAGTATGTATTTTGTATATTAATATAAATTAATGAATTTTGAGAAAGTAACACATCCGTCTAATGCATTATAAGCAAGCACTAAATATTCCAGATGCATCAACATTTTTATGTTGAGCCAAAATAAGTTGTCATAAAATGAAAAAGGAAAACACTATGACATTTAAAGAGCACAGTCATATGCAATTGAGTAAAGGTCAAAGATTTGACCAGCAATCATTTGGAATTAACATCACGCCATGCATGCTTAAAAAATGGCTAAATTTGATTTATTCATTGTCATGCTAGTTTATTTCTGATGCATCAGTTTTCTCCTTCACCTTCTCCGCAACCTTGAAATTAGTTTCTGTCTTGTTTCTTCTCTAACAGGTACAAGTATGGGACACAGCGGGCCAAGAGCGCTTTCGGAAGAGCATGGTGGAGCACTACTACCGCAATGTGCATGCTGTGGTATTTGTGTATGACGTCACAAAAATGGCCTCATTCCAGAACCTAAAGACCTGGATTCAGGAGTGTAACGGGCATGGGGTGTCATCCTCAGTCCCTCGAGTTCTGGTGGGAAACAAATGTGATTTATTTGACCATATCCAGGTCCCTTCCAACACTGCCCTAAAGTTTGCAGATTCCCATAACATGCTACTGTTTGAAACATCAGCCAAAGATCCCAAGGAGAGCCAGAACGTGGACTCCATTTTCATGTGCCTGGCATGTCGTCTAAAAGCCCAAAAGTCCCTGATCTACAGAGACGTGGAGAGAGAAGACGGCAGAGTGAGGCTGACGCATCCGCCCGATCCTAAGAGTACCTGCCCATGCTGAGGACCTTAAACTGTGGAATTATTAACATTGATGATAATTCAGTGCAAGAATGTGCCTGCAACTCATTTTAGTTACTTTACGCCATGAACTATCCCTGTTTCTCTGTGTGCCTGTGCTTATCTTACATGTTGTTATTTGTCTATGTTTTTCTTTTTCTTTTTTCAATTACACCATCACTAAAAGGCAAATCCCACAAAACCAGTCAAGAATATTTCCAGGTCGTATTTCATTTCAAAATCAAAGAAAAGAAATGAGAAAGAAAATAATGCCAACTTTCCATTGTTACAATATTATCATGACAATTAAGCACATTTCCCTAAAATTCACATTAGCATTTGTTAACATTAATTAAAAAACACATTAGTAATCCCTAGTGAAAAAATAAATATACTAAAATATATTTTAAATAACTAACTATTATTTAGTTAGTTTTCCCAAAAATGCACATTAGTAATTGTTAACATTAATTAAAATGCACATTAGGAATTAGTCATTACTAGTAATCCCTAGTGAAAAAAGATTTTAAAAACATTTATTTTATGCTAAGTATACTACAAATACATTTACGTGTTATATACTTAATATAAAACCCTGCAATTGTACTTTTGGTATACTACTTGTATGCTTAATGTATGCTAAATTGGAACAACTAATTTTGTACTTAATGCACTTTAGTTGTCTGGAAATAGTGCTGAGGTCCAACTAAAGATATACTCAAGTATATTTGATTGTGCTAAAGTGGAACTATTGCAAGTATACTTAAGGTACACTTTAAATATCTTGCATTTAAAGACTGATATTATGCAGAGATCATACTATCCTTACAAATAGTGATATTAAAACACATTTTAAGACTTAATATTCAGAAATGTGCATTAAAGAAGTACTCCAAATAAAGTGTAATGCTAATTTGTATATCAGTAAGTCTCAAGCGATATGTCAGTAAATATTTTAATGGATTTCTAGGATACTTAGTATGAAGTAAATGTATTTTAAATAGATAGATAGGTTTATTTCCCGAGGGAGTAATGGTGAAAAAGTCTTATTTTCATTATTGCAATGCAAAACAATGTATTATTTGAGTATTTTTGAGTATATGTTGCAAGTATTTATTTAATAATTACAAAAAAAGAAGTAGTTTAAAAACATCAGGCACATTATTTTGAGATTGCTGGTGAGGAAAAATTTGAAAATATATTGGCCCCTCAATATGCTTAATTTTTGTCATGTCTAGCTAGACAGGTTTACACAAGATTTTATGCATGTAGAAGAATGATTTTCAATCCCTCATGCTTAATTCGCGGTGCACTTATAAGTAACCTTTAAAATGTGACATTTGTTATATTTAGTCATTTGGTTTTGTCACCCATTCATTTAGATGCATTCATCGGCATAAGACAACATCTCACACATTATTGGCTGATGGTCTTAAAGGGACAGTTCATGGATATTTATATAGCGCTTTTCACAATATAGATTGCATCAAAGCAGCTTCACAGTATCAAACAAAACATAATAACAATGTTCGTTTCTTAGTGGAAAAACATCCACTTTTGGTAGATTAACTTTTAGGGCTGGGCAACGATTAATCGCATCCAAAATAAAAGTTTGTGTTTACATAATATATGTGTGTGTAGTGTCAGTGTGTATAATTATTTTGTATATATAAATACATGCATGTATATATTTAAGAAATATTTGCATGTATATACTGTCTATATATATACATAATTTATATTAAATATACATGTTAATATTTTATATATTAATAACACATTTTTCTTAAATATATACATGCATGTGTGTGAATTTTTATATAAAAAAATAATTATACACACTACACACACGTATATAAACACAAACTTTTATTTTGGATGCGATTAATCGTTGCCCGGCCCTACTTTTTATTTAACTTTTTAGTTCACCCAAAAGTTAAAGTTCTGTTATAATTACTCCCACTCAAGTTCTGAACCTGAATGAGTATCTTTATTCTGTTGAACACACACACACACACACACACACACACACACACACACACACACACACACTAATACTAATGATATTTTGAAGAATGTGGATAACCAAACTGTTTCTGGTTCCCATTGACTTCAACAGTATTTTTTATACTATGGAAGTCAATGGGGACCAGCCTGGTTATCCACATTCTTCAAAATATCTTTTTTGTGGTTGTTCAACAGAACAACATCCCTTTAAGGTTTCAGCCATCAGGAACTGCACATGGAATCCAAACCCAGTTTCGGAGTTTTTACATATTAATATATTAATTCCTTTTCCTAGCCTTGTGGTTACTCCATGCTAAAATATGTCTAACATTAACCCTCACTAACAGCATGGATGTATTTTTTACTCATTAAAATTTGGAACCAATTAGTACATATTCTGATAGTTAGCATTAAATAGTCTAGTGACCCAACAAAATGCTTAATGTAATCTGATACCGCTCATAATTCACCACATTGGGAACATTTACAATTATTCATTTAGCTGACGCTTTTATCCAAAGCGACTTGCAGTTGTTATATATGTCAGAGGTCGGACGCCTCTGAGGGTTAAGTGTCTTGCTCAGGGACACATTGGTGTCTCACAGACAGTGGATTTGATCCCAGGTCTCTCACACCAAAGGCATGTGTCTTATCCACGGCGCCATCACCACCCCACCAGAGTGGAACCGTGTGGGAAGTTTTATGTGGCATCACAGTATTTCACCAGCTTAAAGTGGTTCTTCCAAATGCATTAAGAGTTCAAACAGGCTAATTATTGTTACATTTCAATTCAAAACAACCAGAAAAACAAATTGTATTAACATGACAAATAATGGTGTAAGTGTTTGTGGAAATGTTGATTATGAAAAAAAGAGTGCGGTGCCCCTGTAAGTATGTTTTTATTATAACCTCTATCCACTGCCTATTCTATTCTGTTATTTTGGTTTTACAGGAGAAGTTGCAGTGTGTGTGGTTTCAAATCTATTAAGATTCATTAGAGAATTCTCTGTTTTAGCCTTATACTGTATCTAAGACATTTAAGCCTTATGATTTGTCTTGTTTTGTGCCATTGTATGCTGTCACGTTACAATATGTATGTTACGTTTTGAGCACCAAATTAAATCTCACATATCCTGAAGCCCCAGCCCTTTCATTACCTGAGAAATGGCTCTGCTACAAAAGCAACAATTATTGGAGTTCATATTTTATTTGTCATAGAAAAAAATATGAACTGATTAAATGATGAATTGATCAACAAATTGATGAACTGATTATGCTGAAAACAGAATCCTGCTCTGCTGAAATTATTAATGGATTTATTGAGGACTTGAAGTATTAACAATACTAATAGACATTATGCAATCATCCTGTTGTAATAAGTGCGAAAATAAAAACACATTTGCAATGTAAAGAGAGGAGGTAAACATTTTTAGGATGTAGAAGAAATAATAATTTGTAATAAAATAAATATTTTTTCACTGTACTAAATATAAACAGTGGGAAACGCTATAATAAAGTTTACCCAGGGTGCTTATGTAATCAGGCTTTTGAATATTATTTTTGCATTCACAGAACAGTCATGAATTTTAAAAGTGAAATTAAACTTTAGTCAAAAGTGTTTAAGATAAACATAGGCAGGCAGGCAGGGCTTAGATTAAGGCCTTGGTTAAATTAGGACACTTAAGTAGCTTTTATAAACTTGTCTTAGAAATAAATATATTACTGGAGTTCTTCTTGAGACAAGCATGTGAAACCGGGCATATGCTGTTACTCTCAGAGTTAAACAATGACTCCAAAATCTCTCCATACATGAATAAAAATATAAAATATATAAACAATAGGCTACAATAGTCCAATAAATAATAATAAATAAGTAGCTTTTATAAATGTGTTTAGAAAAAAGACATTACTGATGTGCATCTCGAGACAAAACAATGGCACTGACATATTTTAAGATATGTTAGTACAAGTTTCTTTCAGCTCAGGCATGCATTTTAGTCTGGAATAGGAATCCGAGTTTAACTGCCATATATTTTAAAGTTAAACTCATAATTCATTTGTAGCCTGTAATTTATTTATTTTTAAATCATGCCAAACACACACACACACACAAATGTGCATAATCAACATAATCGAGTAGCTACCATATAGTGTACTCGATTATGTTATGTACTCCTGTCAACTCTCCACATTTTAATTTTTGAACAATAGCTATGTAATTAATGACACTGGCAAAATGGAGAAACAAATTGTTGTGTTTTTTATGAAATAATCTTTAAACGTTTTTAAATAATTCAAAAGTAATCTAAGATGTTCCCTGTAATTTCCTTTGATAAACACAGAGTGACGTGGAGCTGAAATGCGTTGATGACACAGACAGTAGATGTCGCTGTTTACACGCTCTCTGTAATGACTCAGCGTGAGAGACTTTTATTTTGAAACATTCTTGTCTTGTCTTGTCTTGTCGTTTAATCCTGATTCACTCTCGACCGTTCGGTGGTAGCAGCGGGTCTGTCGGCTCGGTTCTGTCGCTGTGGACGGGCCGGAGATGGCGGAGTACAGTCAGACGGGTATATTAACGGCCCTCCTGCTGTTTACTGTGGTAACAGTGAAGGATATTTATGTGGGCCGCAACAGCATGATTCAGCAAGACAGCACCGTACCCGACATGCACACACAGAGACCGAACAAACACACATTATACACGGGTCCGGTTCTCAAGTTCCAGTTCTGGTGAGAGACTTCACTGACATTCATGTTATTGAATGTTTTCACTTTCTGTTTAAAGCCCAAAGGGGGTGCTAAGCTAATACGGCTAACATGGCATGACTGAATTAAAAAAAAAAAAAAAACTATTCAAATATTTAAATTGATGAATTGAAATAATTATAACCTGTATAATAATTTTATTTACCCAGTAAAGAGGATGAATTGAGACCATTTGGGCCGGTTTTGTCATGGGATGAATGCCAGATTCAATCCACCCTTTAAATACGTTATTATAATCATTAAGTATTTTTTACAACACATGCATATGCATACATGATTAAATACATTAAACATGTAGGGTGGAGCTTGGTTCTTTGTACCGGTTGTTGATTGTATGATCAAATGATTTGAGAAGACCTCACTAGAGAGATGATGTATGACGTTTTTGATTTTACATTACAAATTAAATCAAATATATATGTGCAAAATATCTTCATAATTATGACCATTTGTCCATTTCTAAAGTGATTCGTCTTGACCATTAACTGTGTTTGTTTTCAGTATATCCTGAGGGTACAGTAAGGTGTTCCAGGAGTACTCCCGGTCCATCAGCCAGCTGTACCCGGACATCCGAATCGAGGGAGAGAATTACCCTCCCAAACCCATCAACAAGTGAGAGAGAGCATTTTCCCTGATCTTATGGAATTGACCCTCTGTCAGAAAGTGGTTTAGGCCTGACTTAATTCATAATGTGTCTTCCTCTGCAGATACTTGGGTAACTTCATCTCTTATTTCAAACTGCTTGCCATTGCTTTGATTGTGACTGGACAAAATCCTTTTCAAATGTTTGGAATGGACACTCCAAGAATATGGTCCTGGGGACAGGAGAATAAGGTAATGTTGAAAATGGTGCTTGGACTCTAACCTGGTTTTATAGCGGACTCGAGGCTGAAGATAAACTTTCACTGTGTCATAGTTGAATTGACGCAAAAGCCTGTTTTGGGGAATGAGCAGCATTTCAGAGCTGTAACCACATCATTCCGTTTGAAGGCCAAGAATTGGCAGAATGTATATAATGGCCTACTGATTGTAAACACCTGTGTAAAAAAAGACATAAAATCAATTTTTCGGAGAGCCTGGTTATATCAGCAGAAAATTAGTTTCAAATGCTGGAAGTTCCTTTTGTGGAACAGTTATGAAATCAAACTTTGTTTTTGTTTAAAATAATATGCACTGATGAATCATGCTCTATAAGACTGCAGGTAAGATATTAACCAATAACATGATAAGCTAAATATGACCATTTAATCAAATCCTGTTTTTACAGTATTCCCAGCTGAATATGCTGTTTCAATTTAAAATGTCCCATATGATATTATGTCACAAATTACAGTCTTTAATCAAAAGTGGCAGAGGTTTCACACCATGACATTTGGTCAAGAAACATATGATGATATGGACACTCATCCAGCTCTATTTTATTGGATGGTTGCGTGAATTATTTGACGGTCAGGATTTAAAGTCCCTGTAAGGGTAATTCAACAAAAAAATTCTAAACACATTATAAATGTTATAAATGTATTGCTAAAACATATTACAAAGACTGTGAACTGTGAAGTTCTGAAATACGGAGTTAGACCGTTAAACAGTTTTTCACTCTTGCTATTTTACGGATTTTTTGGGCGGGGCTAAAACAGGGCTCGATGACGCACTGGAGCCCAAGAGCTCGTGGACACGCCCCAACTTGATGACGCACGTTGGCTGAACCATAGACAGGGGCTGATCTCTCCCCTAACAATAGAGCACATTTGCATTCGCCGCTCAATCGCGAGTTACTGTCAGTACTAGTTACTATAGTCTACAGTTTGCTAGCTTGCTATGCTTTCCTTTGACAAGGAAATGCATAGGCTACTACCTGGATGCGATCATGTACAAAACAGATCCGTGTCTTTATTTAAATTTCCTAAAAGGCGATAACATCAAGAAGAGGTGGATTAATTTTGTGTAGAGCCAACCTTGATGAAGAGCTGAGGATCACCGACAGCAACACCCGCCTCTGTAGTGATCATTTTACACAGGATCGTTTTATAAACTTTCCTCAGAGACAACTGGCATTCACTGATAATCCCATGCTGCTGGTGAACGGGGCCGAAACAACTATCTTCCGCCTCAGCGTTCATCCTCCCTTTCCGAGAGCAGTTTCACCTAATATCACCGTCGACAGGTTTCCCGCGAGTGGGTGTGGTTTCAGCGCAGCCAGCAGACACGCCCCCAGCGTTTGAGAACAGAGATAACTGCTGATTTTTTCAAGATTTAGATGGCGTATTTTATGTACTTGCCGGCTTTTTTTATCATTCAAATTTGGCTGGGTGGCTAATATCACATTTTTCTGTGGTATGACAGACACAGAACACATGCTTAATTTTGACTTTACAGGGACTTTAATGGAAGTAGCATCAGATGCTTTATACGTATTGTGAGTGACGTGTATGTATATATATATATATATATGTGACGTGTATGTATATATATATATATATATATATATATATATGAAGAGTTCAGATGCAAAAGCCTCTAAATGCCATTTGAAATTTTTTTCTTTAATGATGATTTTTTTCAAACTTGTATATTTAAGTTCAGTAATTTCACTTAAATAACAATTAATAGGTAATTATCATTGCCATTTAAGTGAAATCACTGAACTTAAATATACAAGCTTGATAAAAATGATCATTCTAGATGAAAATTTCAAATGGCACTTAGAGGCTTTTGCATCGGAATTTTTGATATATATATATATATATATATATATATATATATATATATATATGTATATATATATATATATATATATGTATATATATATATATATATATGTATGTATATATATATATATATATATATATATGTGTGTGTGTGTGTGTGTGTGCATACATACAAGTTAAACAGATTATCGAAGAAGAAAATGTAGAACTGAAACGCATGCATGGAGTGAATTTACATTTCATGCCAGCTGCATTTTGTCCACTGTCTTCATAGTGCTTTTAAATGGGAATCAATCTATATCTGGAGCATGTTTCTCATGGTTGATGGTCTGTTTTGCAGATTTTCTCCTGCCTTATGGCATTCTTCCTTAGTAACATGCTGGAGACCCATTTTCTCTCGACAGGGGCTTTTGAGGTTACATTGAATGGTAATGTCTTTTGGATGACCACTCCACTTGGGGGAAAAAAAACTTAAAATATACATATGAACAATGTATGTCACAGATGCATAACTATCTTTCTGTTTTAGATGTACCAATTTGGTCCAAGTTGCAATCTGGATATGTGCCCAACATTCAGGAGCTTTTCCAGATCTTGGATAACCACCTTAAGATGAATCAGGTTGACAAGATGAACTTTCCCTCACCGTAGAGCTGTTGTTATTGCCAAGAGACATGTAAGAGGTAAAACCTGTACAATGACGTCACCGTGTGTGTCACAGCATGTTTTGTTGTTGCTTTCAGTACAGGTGTTGCATGGTATTTCATTATGGATATGCACTATTGTTAAAAAGTTGGAGGTCAGAAAGATTGTTTTTGAAAGTCTCTTATGCTCTCCAAATTTGGACAGGGCTAGTTTTCCAGAGGGATGTTAGAGAAATTTGTGTTTCACAGACGTACGTTGCTATTTTAATCCCATCTGAATCTTCCGAGTCTGTTTTTCTCCCACAACCTCTGTAAAAATTGCACAGTAGTATGCTAGTATGTGGTTTCAAATACAGCATTTGTGAAGGATAAAGATAAAGATCCACCTCTAAGGTCATTTGCTCATGAATTAGACTACACAGCTCATTAGGGCTGTAGTCAACCAAAGAAATCCTTACTCGACCAAAGTCTTGTCCTGTGCAACGATCAGTCGGGAAAAAAAAAAGACACGTTTTGCAAACCCAAATAGCCTAAAAACAATCCTAATATTAATCGGCTGTATAGTAGGAAGGCATATAGGTTTATTTTTGTTTTGTTACATTATTTAGGCTATTTTCAAATGTGCCAAGTTTACAAATATAAACAAAATCATAAGGAGACAATCTATTGAGTGAGCATAATAAAGCCATTAAAGGGCCTGCTCACATATCACGTCTTTTGCGCGCTCAAGTTCGTTATTTCAAATGTAGGTGCACAGTATGCACGCTCATAATGGAAGAGACTCGGTTGCGGTGAAACACGCTCGTTTTTTGCAAGCGCGTCCGCGCCGCATTGAGATTAAATACATCTCAACTTTTCAGAATGCCGCAAGCAAACTATAAGCGCACCGTATTTCACGTGACAAGAACCAACCGGAGCGCAACCGCCCTAGTTGCACACCTACTTATTATTATCTTGCTTACCGCTTTTAGGTGATAGGCCATATTGGTTGTTGAGCTATGGTAAGTTAGCTTTAGGCCGCATAGCTTGCATTCCACAGTCTTGTCGTCTTTTTTTGTAAAATGCAGCCAGACCAAAGACTTAGATTTCTTCGACATTTTGTCGACTAAAGCCAAAACAAGTAGCATTCTGACTGAATGAATACAGCAAAACTATATATTGCTTACTGAGGGCGAAGCAGCAGCGCAGACAGCCACAGGTGCGGCTCCTGAGTATTCTACATGGTGCGCTAAACTGTGGCGCTACACAGTACCAGCTCGACTCGGCTCGCCTTTGTTTGGTTTTCTACTGTGTAAAAGTTGTACTTGTACCTGCTTTTAGGTACTTTTTTTTTTTTAAGGCGAGCTGAGCCGGTACTGGAATGTGACGTGAAAACGATGCTGACTGCTGATTGGTCGGAGAGAATCGCCACTATTCACTGAGTCATCATTGCACGTGCCAGATGGAGTATCCAGAATAACCCCGCCAATTTTAAATAGTCTGGCTAGAGATAGTTACTAAACTTACTACTATTATAGCAAATATTATAATGGAATACGCCGTGGTCAAACGAGGTTAAAAATTTTTTTTGAAAAAATATTGGTTAAAAAAAAAAATTGCATGTCATTCGAACAAGATGGCATCGACCGATTAGTCGACACTAAACGACTAAAGTTGAAAGCCCTATAGCTGTATGTTTGGTTTAATGCAAGGGGGTAATCGATCGACCGGAAGTTGAAGGTGCCTCCATCTTGTAGCATAACTTCACTTGAGTTTTGAGCATTTCTATTGACTCCCATTCATTTTGGCATCACTTTGAATAACTTTACATCTGAGGGATTTTAAGATTCCAATTGACCATTATTTATTTCTAAAGAAACACGACAATGTATAAAATGCTCCATTACTTTGTAGCTTATGTTATGGCCTTGTAGAAGCAGTTTTTTTTTTTTTTGTAAAAGTAGGCTAACGATTGCGTCATAACCACGCGACTCTCTGTTGCACAGTAGAGAGATTACAGTATGGACTGGATGCGAAATTTAAAATGACAAAATAATTAATCAAAATACCTAGCAAAAGGTTACTCCTGCGCCTACCTCATGGACAGCTCCCACTCACACTCTCCGCCTCTGCAAGTTTCGGAAGGGAATGATTCCGTTTCCTCATGCCACAGCCACTAGAAGACAAACGGGTTGCTCACGTCACATCTATGTCGTCAAGTTCTGTTCGAGTCAGTTTGAGTCTGCGCGTCAGGAACGGAAGTCCTAAAAAATCGCTAAAATGGGCTTCACTTGTCTCAATGGAGTTCCAATGAGAAGGCTCTGTCCACTTCTTATACTGTCTATGGTTTAATGTGTTGTTGTTGTTGTTTTTATTCCTTGCAGCAAAATCACATTCAGAACGATTTAATTTACCTTGGCTATGGAGATTTAGCAGTGGCAGCATAGAAAAGTGATGCAGCATGTACCTCTCACAGGGTTGCCAACTCTCACGCATCTGGCGTGACACTCACGCATTCAGCCTCAATTTCACGGTCTCACGCTCAACAAAGGAATCTCACGCTAAATTAGAAATTCTTCTGTGCTGTATTTTTTTTTTTTGTATTACTATAAGCAAGTTCAGGCTCTTAATTACTGATTGGACCACTGCATTTTATCACGCAGAGAAAAATCGCGGAAAAGGGTGACACTGACACCGACAGACAGAGAAGTTTACTCTTGATATGGAACGCTTTGGCGCTTTTAAATGTGACAGATCGCAGTAGCGCGTCAGTTCAAACAGCACGTGATACAGTTGCCTAGGCTACAACACCCACAGGGCACGAGCAAAATACTGTATCTGGTAATCTCCCACTTTATATTAAACAAACTGTCAACACGGGCTTTTGCGATGCACAGAGAGACGCTGCGCTGCCTATGACTTTGAGTGGACTTTGAACGTGAGTTGAGAGCGTACATTTGCACTACGTGCCTGTCTTTTTAGCAAAAAAGATACCCTACACTGAATATCTATAGTGGCGTAGGGCGAGGGCGTGAGGTGCTTGAAAGTAGTGCAAGTAAAATATGCTTTTGAAATATTCATTTTCATTTATACAGTACATTTATTGGCTAGGCCTATATGGATTTTACGCAATAGGAATAATTATAAAAATAATCATTATTACATTATAATAATCGTTTGGCATCCTAAAACAGAGGATTATATCATAACTAAAAAGATGTTTGATCCCTCTTTAATGTCCAGGTGCAAGTCGAGGCTTTTCCTTTTTTCAATGTCACAGTTCATGGGTTGAAGCCAGTTAAAGCTCTTAATTTTGAGCTCTCAAAGTGCACCAGATTGATGCATTTAACCTTAAAATGTACAAAATTTTCTTGCGGGGGAGCATGTCCCCGAACCCCCCTAGAGGAACAGCTCTCAACATAGTTAAAATCATATGGGAAAGAACAATAATTTATGAACTTTACTCCCAAAACACAGTCTGTTTGAATCAGTAAAACTGTTAGCTTATTTGGCCTACAAGACATGTGCCCAGGGGAAATTGTGCCCTACAAGACATTGTGACGACACCCCCCAAAAAAATCGCACTCCAAGCAAAACTCACAAGTTGGCAACCCTGCTCTCTAGGGGGAAAAATGTAGTAAAAACTTATTTTTTTCTGATTTCATGACCACTTGATGCTGCATTGCACTTGTTAGGACACGTCAATCAACATGCCTAATACTACCCAAGAGCACCATCAAAGTATGTTCTCATCTGCAGATCTCCGGAGCCGTTTCTCTGTTCAGAGGGACTGTGGACTGTGGCATAATGAAGGCCTGCACTGAAAACAGCACGCTGTGAGTGCAGACTCGATGCTCGGCCACCACACACACTCCTCCTGCCCAGCGACACATCTCTGGATCAACTACATCGCTTCAGAGCATCAAACTTCATGCATTTGTAGTAGGAGAGTCACATGAGCGCCAAAGGCAACACATTTATTACCTAATGCTGAAGTTAGGGTTTTTTTTTTTTTTTTCGGTCATTCTGTTTGTAACGTGCTTTTTAACTGAGATTGAATTGAATGTTCCATCTTTTTTGAGGGCAACTGCGATGTTTTCTTAATGTAGATGTCTTTGAATGGTTTTTAACATGATCATTTGTTTGCACTGGTGTAGACTGTACTGTACTTGGGGGAATCTGACTTTTTTAATCAGTGGGAATGTCTGTGTATTGTGGAAACTTGCAGGGTTTTTATTTTTTTTTTTTTTAGAGTGAGTTAATGTTTTTTTGTTTGTTTTTTGTTTTATGCTTGAAGTGGTACATTTTTGTGTTTGTCACAGGTTCACTGGTTAGATTCATAAGTACTGCATGTGATGAAGGCCATATCTTCTGACTTTAACTGTATACACTGCCAGAGTGAGCTGTGAAATCATCTGCAGTTGTCTTAATAATGGTGTGATTGAGTGTTGCATATCAGAAGATGTGAATGGGAACTCCAAAGACATCCACTACTATTTTTCCAGCTCTCTCCATTTAGATGTGGGGACAAGCAATGTACCCCTGATAGTTTAGCGTATCTGTGAATTTGTAACAAAAGTAATATTGATAGTTGGGATTGTTGCATTGAGAGAAGAAATTATACTCTATCACTGTGATCTAAAATAAAGATTCAAATAAATAAATAAAAAATGTGAAATGTGAATTATATTTTACTATCAGTTTTCATTATAATTGAGTAATAACATGGTTGTTAATATGGTTTCTGTTTTTGTGCTTGAAGTATTGGTTTAGAATGTTTTAATAGGTGAAGTACTACATTGGCAAATATGATACAAATTGCTGGACAAAAGTTTATCAATTATCTCAACAGCTTTAACCACTGATATTTATCAATTGAAATGTTTCAAACCTAAAATGATGTCATAGTATTTCATTTTTAATTTTCTATTAAGACAACATTTTAAATATTTCTTAGTCTGTTAATTTGTTTGGACAGTTGCACCACCTGACATATTTGGGGTTTAAAATAACAAAACATAAAATAAAATGTATTTAAATGTACTAAAAATGAATACAAACTACATAGGTTTTATAGATTAAAGTGATATATGTCATGAATTTATCAAATTGCTGTAAAGGGAAATAATGCAATTAAAAAAAATGCACATCATGTCATTGACCCATGTCCAAGTCAGACGGATTCTCGAACAAGAACAAATGTGGGGTGGGTCTTGATTTTGTCGTGGGGAACTGATGGATCATACTAATTGTTCAGTATTTCTCATTGAGAGCATGACGTAAATTAGATATATTTTTAAGATGGAAAAATTTGGTTTTACAGATAATAGACACATGACTTTCAAATGAAAGATTGCTATTAAAGAGCACACCCAGGTTCCTAAACGACGATGAGGGTTTGACAGAGCAGCCATCAAGTGTTAGTTTTCTAGGTTATTACGTAAGTTTTTTGTCCAATAATTAGAATCTCTTTTTTTTTCAGAATTAAGTAGTGGCTACATGTTTCTTTTCTCTACCTTTATCAAATTTGTATTTATTTACTAATTAATTAATTTTAATCAAAATTAAAAAAAACATTCTTTTTGTGTGTGTTCGTGTGTTTCGTGTTATGTTGTGTAATCTGGATGCTAGAAATTTGCAATTCATGAAAATATATACATTCAGAATACTTCCAGTCCCGCAGGTGGCGCTGTGTGGAGCAGAACTGTGCGTCTTATTCTACTGTATTTCTGCTGTAGCTTTCTTTTACTGTCTATGAGCTTTAACGGTTGACGGCTGGAGACAGTGTTGAGTATGTAACCGGCTATTCTGTAAAACTGACGATAATGTTGATTTAATATGTAAATTTAAATATAAAAGCGAGTATACTAATGCATTAAACAATAATTTAACCAAACGTAACGTACATTTCTAGAATCAAGCTAGCTGTCTAACAATAAGACCATGTTAGCTAATTAGCAAACTAGCTACTATTTAAAACACTTTTTGACAGGTTCGTTAATGAACACGGTCAAGTATTTATTATTGTTTACAAAATAACAAAACGCGCCTTTTGTCCATGCTATTCGGGTTTCTATTCACTTTAGTCATGTAACGTTACATAAGGCTAGAGTAATGCAGATTTTAAACTCGCTCATTTATTTAACTTGCAAGGGTTTTATCTTGTGAGAAAAGAGCAAACTACACTCCATTTAAAACGAGTGATGTATTGTCGGGAGTTAATAACTGACATCTTTAGAATGAATTGCTAAGATTTGAATAAATACTGTCTAAACCGTTTATGTCCTTATAGTGCGACTAATTTGTGTTTTAGAATTTATTATCCGTCTCGAGGAATTATCTGTCGACTGATATTTCGAGGCATATTGGAGTTGTGAACACCAGTCATCATGAGTAATGCTGTAAGTATGGCTGATCATGTGACCACTCACGTGACTGATTATTGCTGATTAAATTTAAACTATTGCAGCTTGTTGAATGGCGTTTTTCCTGCTTCCAAACGATAACAGTAATACAACATCTGTACTATAGTAACCACTTGTGTCTCCTGTGTTTAGACCCAGAGGAAAAGAAGAACATCATCCACTGCATGTTCAGCCCGTGTCAGCAGAAAGAGGAACCAGACCCAGATGTCTCAGACGGTGATGGAGACTATTGATGTGCAGGAAAGTGACAGAACTAACAGTGAGTTTGCTTTAGTTTTGCCAGATGAGTCATTTACTTCTTCTCATATATCATTTATCAAGTACGACATGCAGCGGTTTACTGGAAAGACCGTATGGTCAAAAATATCCTGTTTAAACAAAGCCTTGTAGCGTGGTTGACACCAGTCCCCTCTCATTTTGGTCTGGGGATGTTTCATTCACAGCCCATTTCCAAAGGCATCCAAAGCGTCATCAACTGACGTCGCTCAAATGACTCTGGGCGCAATTGGATAGACCTAAAACCAATCAGAGCATTCGTCATCCTGTAAAGCTCGCCTCAACGTTTATGTTTGATGCCTCGATTTGGAAAAATTGGAAAATGGGCTCTTGGTCAGACTGACTTGCAGAGCAAATCTCAAATTTGTCTGAAGGGTCGTCTGGCTTTTCCCTGGCTAAAAGCCTTGAACAGTAAATCACATTTTGCAGGAGGGTTGAGGCGAGAGCAACATTCAGAATTTACAGTTTCCTTTTCAGTTTGTGAGGTGGAGTGCAATAGTTTGGTTCTGGAAGGAAAAATCCCATTTGTTTTCTTCATAGGGAAATTGATTTTAAAGGGGTGGTTTGGAATTTTGGACATTGGGCCTCATTTCCAAGTGAGCCTTAGTGTTAGGCTATGTTCACACTGCAGGCTGAAACGACCTAATTCCGATTTTTTTTTGCCCCTATGCGACCTGTATCTGATTTTTTCATGACAGTCTGAACGACACAGATCCGATCTTTTCAAATGCGACCCAGGCCACTTGGGTATGTGGTCTAAATCCGATATGTATCCGATCTTTTGAAATGCGACTTCAATCTGAACGGCCAGGTCACATATATCCGACCCGCACGTCATTGCAAGCACCTGTAGCCAGCCAATACACGCTAACTCCAACGCGTTTCCTCAATGTTATGGGCCACTGCAGACGTGTCTCTTCCCCAGTGTTGTGCCTGAACGCGTTCAATGAACGATAGTGCATGAACGTGTTCATATTTTCGCGTATCATATTATTCACGTTCGCCCGAAATAAACATACTGTATTACTGCCTGATGAACATTACTGTGAACACGTTCATTCTGGTGTATGTGAACGTGCGCTCTCTGTCAGTATAACTTTGTACAGTAGGGTGCCAGATATAGAGCCTTCCAAGCGAAAACCTGGCTAAAACACATGTGAACATGCCTTAAAATGTAGCGAATAACCACCCAATCCGGCAACACCGCGGCCGCCGGTGACAAAGCAAGGAGCGCCGCGGACACGCACTATCAATTAAACGGGTTTTATGACGAGGTCGGTGAGGATCGGAAAAATCCTACATTTATGTGCAAACTGCCCGTCGATAAAATAATTATTGTCTGTGTTTGTATATGGGCTGTGGCAATAATAATAATAAAACAAAAGCTCGCAACATATGAAAAAAAAGAACTATTCTGCAAGCAACAAGTGACGTCTTGGACCGTTGATTACTCTTCTGCGCATGCGGGTCACTTCTGGGTCATTTCACGTTCACACAGATGATCACAAAAGGTCGCATTTAATTGGAAATGTGAACGGCCTTGCAAAAAAATCGCATTTTTTGAAAAAATCGGAATTGAGCATTAAGCCCTGCAGTGTGAACGTAGCCTTATTTATCAGTGGAGACAGTTTTTTAAAAAAAATCATCCAGTCGTCCGAGTTGCATAGTTCGCCGGTGCTAGGCTAGCGCGAGTCAACGGTAACTTTTAGCATTCCATTAAAACAGTTTTACCCACTCCACAGTAGGGTTGGGCGATATGGCCTAAACATAAAATCTCCGATTTTATTCTTTTTAATTTGATTTACGATTTTTTTACGAAAGCATTAACAATACATTCAAATCTGAGGAAAATTGTTATAATTCGAGGATTTGCCAGCAAACAGAATTCAGCGCTGAACAAAAAGTATCTTAAATGTTTCTGATTGGGCATTGCGTTCAAGAACATCGCTCAACGCTGCAAACGTTATAAATAGAAACTCTGTCCTGTAAATCGTTTCCATTTTGTTTTAGTTGTTCTTTATGCTTTTCTGCAACAGATGAATACAAATCTATTACTTTTTTATGTTTTAATCATAGATATTTCCAGTTTGCGGGAGTCCCGGGAATCGTTTTATTCTCCCCCAAACCGCACACACAGAGTGAATGCATTACCGCCTGCCCCGCGCACGGCCATCAGATCTAATTAGTCCCGCGCCGCACTCTATTGCATTGTTAGTGCACGTCTCTCAAGGACCGGCCTGACCCAAGGATAGTGACGGGAAATATCGGCCCGACCCACTCGGGCAGAATAAACTCTAGTTCACTCTACGCTAAGGAACAAACTTCCCACTCTCACCAGTAGCCATGTTGTCGCTTGCTCTATGTTGTTGCCGTTTCGTGTGTGCTATGACGTTGTTGTTGTCGCTTGCCATACTGCCACGTGAGTGAAACTAATGCTATGGAAACTCCGGGGAGCCAAAAATGTGACATTACACAAAAACTCGATTTACTTATTTTTTAAATCGCCCCCAACAGAAAAATTCGAATTAATTCATTTAATCGATTTTTTGCCCAGGCCTACTCCACAGTACACCAAAAGCAAATCGATTATAACGCCAGACTATCAATGTAACTGTCTGTTGAGAGAATAATGTTAGAAATCAAACTATCCTACATCTCAATGATTGCATTACATTTACAGGAACTAGTTTCCCAGCAGCGGCGGAATTAAACTTCACTCCGGTCAGACGACTTTAAAGAACCATTTAATCGAAATGGTCACAGGTTAATGACAAGGAATGCAGTCCAGCCGTCTATTCTCTCAACAGACACTTAAATAGTGTATAAGTAGCGATAGTCTGACGTTATGATTGCTTTGGTTTTGGTGTACTTTAGAGTGGGTAAACCCGTTTTTATGGCATGCTAAAAGTTACCGTTGACTCGTGCTAGCCTAGCACCGGCGAACTATGCAACTCGGACGACTGGATGAATTTTTTTT